CATGTGCTTTGTTGATGCCTTTAGTCGATTCACTTTGGTTTATCCATTAAAAACCAGATCCCAAACTCTCTCCATCTTTATTTAATTCAAGAACATGGCTGAACTGCAATTGAATTCCAAAATTAAAGCTGTCCAAACAGATAATGGTAAAGAATACCTCACACTCACTCCCTTTTTACAGAACCATGGTATCCTACACAGATTGACCTGCCCTTATGTCCATCAACAGATTGACCTTCTCTTCTCTTTCTTTCTTCCCTTTCTTGCATTCTGGTCTGATACCTTACAGGTTCCTGTTCTTTCGGTGTGATCCAAGTAGAGTTAAGCTCTTATCATCTCGGTGTGCTCTCCAAGTTCTCCAAGATGGGCTACTGTGTTGTGCTTGACGAGAACGCAAATTCTTTCGGTGTGATCCAAGTAGAGTTAAGCTCTTATCATCTCGGTGTGCTCTCCAAGTTCTCCAAGATGGGCTACTGTGTTGTGCTTGACGAGAACGCAAAAAGGCTCTAATTATCCTACCTCACACTTCTAAGATCAAAATTTTAAACTACGCTGCAATAAAATATTAAAATAGGTACCTTACACGCCCGTTCCACATTTATAATTATTTTAAATAAGTTTATACACTAATCAATTATAACATCAAAATTAATTCAACATATTCATAATTAATGTTAAACCTATAATAACCAGATATGGTTAACAAAAATATATTACCTAATACGAAAACATTCAAATTCAATATATTATAACTTATAAAACACATAAAAAATTAATCTATTTTCATAATAACACTAATATTTTCTTCGTCTCATTCTTTTTTTTTTTTTTTTTTCCATTCTGGTTATTAATACATAATATTTATTTAAAAGTGAGATGCAGGATGCGGCAATGTACCTATGGGTAGGTTGGGATTGCCACGCCTACCATATGGTTTCAATTCAGACAGATTGGCGAAGGGTTGGATGCTTCTCACCGGAAGAAAGCTGGAGCATCATTTTTCTTTTTTCTGCACAAACCAAATTTGAGGTTTTAGCATGCAATTTGTCCTGTTTACACCCCTAATGTCATGTGTAGCATTTTATATGAATATTGTAACTTTATTATAGTTTTGTATATTATCTAATTATATATAAAATTCAAATCACTAGAGAAGTTTCGTTATCTCAACTATTTTAATTTTTTTTTAATAATATATGAATGCACCATTTAATGATAGTATAAAAAATATCTGTATATTAAGAGCACTTCAAAATGAAATACTTATAGGAATTAGTGATTAATTAAGATAAAACGTTTAGAAGAAAGAATGCTAAATCAGTAATTTTATGTTTTTTTATTTAAATAATATTTTTGGGCTATTATTGTTAAAAAGTTTAAGAAAAACTGTTGATGTTATCTTTTGATTTTACGAAGATTTTTAGAGATGGAAAATGTAATCAGACTTAAGGAGAAGGATATTGTAACAATCAATTAATGTTACTACCAATGTTATTATCAATCAATTTCACCGTTAGATTGATTATGTTGATGCAACGGTTATATTTATTTCCATTTTTGTATGGTTATGATTTCTCTTATTTAATACTTTACACACACACACACACACACATATATATATATATATATTTGTTTCCCAAGGTATCCTCCAGCCGACAGCCTCGACGAATTCTTTCGAGGCGGAAGATCACATTAACTGAGTAAACCTCTCACAACAAAAGCCTTCTCTATACACACGGCCACATTAATATGAGAAATCATAACTATACAAAGATGGAAAGAAATATAACCGTTGGATCAACATAACCGATCTAACAGTGAAATTGATTGGTAGTAACACTAGTTGCAGTGACGGACTCAGAAAATTATATTTATGTCTGCACATTTATTGGCAGGGGTTCAACAACAGTGCTTCCAAAACTTTTTGTTTAAAAGCTCTCGCCGTGCACAGGATCCATGGAAGGGTATACGGTAGATAGCCTTATCTTGCATTTGCAAAAGATTAAATATAAGAATTGAAAATGTGATTTGTAGATACATGACCACAATACCAACCATTAAGACAAGAGAAAGTAACAACTTAATAAATCTAAACTAAGTTAACTATACAACTCTAGAAGCAAAACAGATCAGTTTTTTAATAGAAAAAAAAGTTATTTTTACAAGTTAGTGTCTGCACTTGCCCACACAGGCAATAGTGCAGGTCCGCCATTGACTAGTTGATTGTTACAATATCCTATCCCTAAATTTAAATGCAAATACTTTTATGGATAATACTTTTCTTATGTTGCATAAAAGAAATATTATCTTCTATGCTTACATTTATCAAATGGGTCCCACAAATTTTTTCTTTTTCTCACCTCCAACTTTTTCCTCTCTCCTATTTATTGTTTGAGTAGGAGATAATACTTCTCTTATACAACATAAAAAAAGTATTACCCTACTTTTATTTATTGTTTTCTTTTGGAATACTTTTTTTTCTGAGTAAATTCATGATATCCCCGCTTTGTAGGATGAGACTAATTTCTTGGTGGCTTGAAGTGAGAAATTTTCACCATTAACCCCAAAATTGCTTCTAGTAGGAATCCAACCCTTTGAGATGCTTAAATATAGCATATGTGTAATACATCAGTCCGCTTGTGCCGGTTCATTGACATAAGCACATACGAGAGAATAATTGAAGATTCAAAATGATTTTTTTGACTCAAAATAATAATAACAAGTCATAAACAAACAAAAAATAATATGAGCAATTGCTATAGTGTTGGTACATTGTCAGGGTTAAGTGACAAGTGACAACCATCATTTTGTTTTGTCTTGAAGAGAAGAGAAGCAGCTATTGTTATTTAACCAAACAAAAAAGAATGATTTTAGGTCGTCCAAGAAATCCCAAGCACTTCTGCAGCATCTGGCCTTTAATCAATTAGAAACGCCAACGAAACAGCTCAAACCCTCTGGGCTGGAAGCAGAGACAAGGTTTAAATCAGGACTCGTTAATTTGGCGTTTTCGTATTCATGAATTCTGGTAAATACCTCCTGGTTGAGTTCCATCTCTCTTTAGTTGATCTTTTCATATAAACTATTATTTGATTGGATACTAATATCTCAAAGATTCCATCTCGAAGAATATACTGTTTGATTCTTAACGTGTTTCAATTGCTGTTTTCTGTGGACAAGAAACCGTATATCCGAAGAAGAGTTTCTTGCCCATTTTTTACAAGAATCTAGTATATAAAAGACACAAGCAAACTTTAGAAACAGTGTTTGGTAAAAAGACTAAAAGAGTAAGATCTCTTGTTATATGCTATATTTTACAAAGGGTCGTTTTTAAATCATTAGAATATACTACCAATAGGTAGCATCTTGTTGGTCCCCGGTTCATCATTTATTGTATGCAGAAAATTTTGTCATTATACTCGAATTTTGCTTACATCTTACAAGAACGATTACCAGGTGAAAGAAAGTGTTTGTTTTTAATTTTGAACTTTCTATTGTCGGGACTCCCTCGGAACGTCACATGCGCTCTACGCATTACAAAATCATTGGGTGTTCTGTACGGGGACATATTTTGATGAGGCCGGCACAACAAAAGCACAAAACTTTGATCGTTTTGTCTTCCCATCCACAATCAGCATTTCACGATTCTAAAAATCCCATGTTGGTGTTGCAGAGGATAAGCTAATGGTAGTTTCTGTGGCTCCCCAGTCCCCTCATCTCATTTATATGCAATTGTTTGGGTTAAGATGTCCTGATTCCTGAACATTTCCTTCAAGTAAAGAGGTATATATTCTTTGTAACTAATGTTACTACTATTAATTTAATTACTATCATTTTTCAGTAGTTGGATCTCACTTTTGAGTGACAACTTCGGAAAAGTTTTTAAAGAGAGAGAGAGAAAAAAAAAATTTAATGTACTTCCAAAATACAAAATTATATTAAAGTGATATGAATTAATAATAGAAACATTTGATAACTTGTCAATTAAATTAAAAATATGTTTGAACCGCGCCTTACCCAGCCCCACCTTGGAAGGGACTATAGAACATTTGTTACATTATTTATTAAATATGACAAAAATAAATTTTGTATATTATCTTTTTTTTTTATGATTATTTTTATCAATATTTAATTAATTTTTATTTCTAATAAGTTATAAGGGAGTAGATACTATCTTAACGTAGAAAATATGTTCCTCCCAAAAAAGTCCATTAAAATAATAACAAGGAAACAAAAACACACGTCCGATTCCCAGTCTCAGATGTCCGTTTACCAATTTAGCAAGCGATCGAATATTCATTAGATATTTAGATTCAATTTTCAGGTCCGACTTTGTACGAAACAAACTCTTACACTTAACAGACCTCTTTAACTCTTAAGCTTATGAAAGGTATACCATGAAAATCTATAAATTTAAGAACAACTAATAGAATTAAAGATAACGTAGGATAACGAGTATTTCCGACAAATGGATTTTCTTTTCAATGTCAAGACAATAGATCCATTTGCTAAACGTGACAAAAAAAAAAAGTGGGATAAGAATATTTCTCAGTACTTGTTTTATGTTTACGTGTGTGTAATAACAATTTACTGAATTTAGTTAAGATTAGCAATAGCATGTCGATCAGAACAATCATTTGCGATTTCTGTTCCGAATATGTTAAGTGCAAGGGTCGCAGTCAAGCATGCATAATGAAATTTTTCTTTTTGTTATACACGGCCACGCATCTTAATTCTAAAGATTATTGAATTCAAATACAAATTTGTAACCAAAAAAGAAAAAGAAAAAAAAAAAAGAATTATAATAACTTTCAGACATTTTTTTGTTCGTGTCCTTTGTTTCAACAACCCACCCCATTTCAGGAGCCCCCGGGAAAAATGACAAAATTGCATGTTGACACCCAATAAATAAATAAATAAATAAATAAGCTCTAAGAATATAGACAAGAAGGTGGTGCACAACAATCTCCCTCCTTAATATTAATCATTCACAAAAGTCACAATTAAGGTTCGGTGACCTCACCACCTCTACATATACCCACATCTATCACCATGGTTCCTTTATTGTTTGACTTCATCACTCTGCAACAGTTTCTCCTTGGAGCCTGCAAAAAATATCAGCAAATAGGCAAAGAAACCCACATCAATATCTCAACAAATGATACATACCACAATTGGTTTTGAATCATAATTTAAGTAAGAACTTGCTGTGACAAGAACTTACTCTATCCCATAGACGCGGGTCTGGCTTCTTATATACCTCAACTTTGTCAAGAGCAGAAGGATCAGCCATCTTCCACCGGCATTCTGGATGAGGGACACGATGCCTTTCATATTCACTCACTGTCTGTCGAATTGTAGAATTGAATTTTGCCTTAGACAAGTAAAACACAAAAGGCTTCTGACATGGGTTTCGGGTAACTGGGCGTGTGTTGAATGCGTATGCAGTGTAATCTGCTCTTCTGTACCAATTCAAGAATGTTCTTGAAGGCATTTCCATCTCTCGGGGTGAAAATATCCCACGAAATATCTGAACAGAAAAACCCCATGAAACAGAAATGGTCCAGCTCCTTTTCTTGTCGTAGCAGATGGATTGCTGAATGAGCGCAGCTGAGTCAAGCTTCATTGGCATGGAAAGTCGTTGAAGGGCTTCTACCCTTGTGACATTGGGGAAGATTGGCTCAACCACATCAAGGTGGTGCAGTGACACCAATGGAGTCACAGGGTGAGCTGCTAGAAGCCCAAACAGGTTCCCATACACATCATACTGTTCCAATAAACCAAGAGCTGTCAGTGTGAAAACTTGCACAATAGCAAGCAGGACTACATTGCTTGTGTAAAAGAAATAACATGACTTTGCTGCATTATCCACCAAATAAAATAAAATAAAATATATAGATTCTCCTTTGTAAGACAAACCAGAACAGGTTTTGCAAATGTCTTGTCTAGCTCCTCAAGATACAATACCCAGTTAGGGGAAAAAACAATCAAAATCCTCATCACTTACACTTAACATTGCACTCTAATTAAATGGAGCTCTTGCAGTTGGAAGGTAACGTAAAGTCAAATTTTAGAAACCTATGTCAATTAAAAAAGAAAAAGAAAAGAGTCACAGTGTTGTCCACAATCACCATCCCAAAAAGGAGCCTTTTCTTTGGGTAAGTGATTTGCAGTTAGATAAAAAGATCACTGTCAAACCGGTCAAATGTCAAGTTCAATAATAACTGATTTAATAGATTAGTAATTGGACCATAAAACATGTTTTATACACTCTTGATCGTTAACATAATAGCTTTTATTTTTATTTTTTTGTAGGTAGGGGTAAGAACGCATCACCGACTCAGAAGAAAAAACAAAAACTAAAAAACAAAAAACGAAGCATGTCACCTGAATTTTTCCGATAAAATAAAAATGAAATTATATTGGCAATCGTAAAACACGAAATACTTTTTTTTTTCTTTTGTACTTTATCTCGATAAATACTAATTTATTCTTTATTTAATATATATATATTATCATACTCAAGTGTTGAATTGGTTTCGAGAATTAAGTTCCTAGTTCATCTATCTAGAAATTCAATGGCGCGAATCATTTTCTAGAATTAAACAGAAAGAAGAGTTGAATGCTGAAGTCAGAGACACGAGCGACGCTTCCCTCATGTTGGGGTCAAATACGGGAAAGCTAGCAATTGCCAATGATAGTAAAATAGAACATTCTAGTTTTCACCTGCGGAAAGTCAACTTGAGAAAAAGATATAACCCGAGTTTGTCACAGGCCAAAACTAAATTACAGTGTCCCACTTCCACTCAAACAACTGAGAACAAAAAATAGAAGCACAATCACTCATACTTGAGTTGACACAGACACAGAAGCAGAATGACGATAAATAAAATAATTAATATTAGAGAGAGAGAGAGAGCAGAGACCTGGTGAAAACCAATTTCCTTAGTGAGTGGAACACCAAGTTCAGCCATACAAGCTTGCATTCGATCATCGGAGCCGTACAATCCCGGGTATCTCTGAATACAACGGTCCTGCATTTTTTCCAGAGCCTTGGCCAAAGGGTAGCTAATGGCGAAGCCACCTCCACCGTAGGCCATTCCGTACGAGAAGTGAATGTTCTGCAAGTGACTCTCCGACAAGCTCCCAATGTAATAGAACTGGTCGTGATCATACTTGTTCAAAATCCTCAGCAGGTTGTCGGTGATGAAAACGGTGTCGTCGTCGCCCATCACGAACCACCGCACGTCCTCGAGCCCTAAACGCAGCGTTTCAGACACGATGCGAGAGATTCGAATGGCGGAACGGTGTCCTTGCTTGTTGGTATAAGCGAAATTGGAGGTGTCGGTGGAAATCTTAACCGGTGGAAGCCCTTCGCTTTCGTTGGTTTTCACGCGATCATCAAGCCACACTACCCCTCTCATCTCCTTGGCCTTGTACCACAGCTTGATGTAGTTTTTCCTCTGTTCCCAGAGCTTCGAGGATGCCGCGATTCCGAACACTATGTGTCGGAGCTCCGTTTGTTGGTGTCGGGTTTCTCCAATCGCTGTTCTGTTTGGGGAAGCAGTGGCATTGGCATTGATGTGGATGGAGAATGGGCCATGGTTGCAAGCTTTTGATGTGGAGAGTAGCTTGAGAGTGTAAACTACATAGGTGAGGGAAACGAAGAGCATTAACCATATCATAATGATAAGCTTCGGCGAGTGTGAGGGTCTTCTCGTCTGATCCCAAATTAATTTCTCTGAATCTTTCATTTTTTTTTTTTTTTTCAATTTCTGTCTAATACAAAAGCCCCCAATAACAAATGCAAGGAATTAGAGAGAGAGAGAGAGAGGGGCTTGAATTTCGATTTCAAATGAAAGAGATCTCTCAGAATGCTCAAACAGAGAAGAAGAGAGTTGCAGAAAGGTAAAGGGGAAAACATGCATAATAGGTGTGTGGTTGCACACTCCCCAGGAATGAAATTCCCAAGGCCAAGACGAATATTTATTAATTGTATTAAAGGACACACAGTTAACGAATGAGGCGTTTGGGTCTGACCATATTACCTTAATTGTGTGGTATGTATGGGAAGAGGGTGAGTGAGTGAATTTGATAGATACTCTGTTATTGGAGTTAGAGAAACGTTTAGATTTCTAATGTTTTGGTGTCGGACTGACTTTCGTGGGGCTTCATCATTGGCCATATATGACAAGTGATAATCCCCTCCCTCTCTGTTTTTTACTTCTGAGTAGGTTAACAATTACTTTCTATCGCACCCAGAGTCGCGCTCATATTCATACAGACAATTCTTTCTCATCTACAACTAGCAACAGGAAGTCACTCTTGGATTTTTCTTTTATTTATTTTCTTGTTAATGACCAAATATATTACATTAACAAAATTACGGTACAAATTCCTATTGTTGACATTTTTTTTTTTAATATGTACAACCATATCTCAATAATAATTTTTTTATGTAAACGGAGAAATGTTATACTTACAACATTTTTTCTTTACGACCTCTTACAACCATATCTTAACATTGTTGATTTTCGTCAATCAACGGTTATGATTTTCGCAAATTAAACTCATTAATTAATTATTAATTCACAATAAATGATAACCGTTGATTGGCAGAAATCAACGGTGTTAAAATATGGTTGTAATAAAAAAATGTTGTAAGTATAACCTTCCTCGTGTAAATATATTAAAATTCATCCTTTTTTTTTTTATGGAAAAATCTATCATTCTTTGTGAATAATAACATTTACAATAGTGACATTGCATACCACTTTTATTTTTACCCTTTCCCTCGTGAAGTTTTATTCCGGACGACACATCTTTTTTATTTGTCCATGTTACTTTTCTTAGTAAAACGACAGATACTTAACGCACAAAGAAGTCAACACCTTTTAAGAAAAAAAGTAACGCAAAGAAGTCGATTTCTATTCCTAGTTGACCAAAATTCAAACGGTGTTACCAATTATTATGCTGAGGTTAGTGAGCGGGATTTTCAGTTGATTTCATTCAACAAGATGGTAATCGTATTGTTATTATTGCTTAAATAAATTATTTAGTCAACAGCTGTAGATGTCAACGGGTTTTTTTTTTTACATATTTTTTCACAAAGTTTTTTCATATTATTACATCATATTATATTTGAATGTTCTCAAAACCTCATTTTTTCCAACTGTTATTTTCATCTTAGGCAGAGTAAATTTATATATCAACAATAAAATGAAGTTTATTAATGAGTACAACTCGTCTAACTCTCATAAACTCCATGATCTTTAACTTTGTAAGTAGTGTAAAAACAAATAAATATAATTACTTTTAACAAAATATATTCTTTAGGGAAAAAATGTTGGTATTATTTGTTCAATAATTTATCAAAATGAGTAAAGGGGACTCTAATAGAACTTAATTAATACTTATGATTTTCAATATAATTGTATGGAATTTCTTAAAATTACAACTAGCATTGATGACCTTTTTAAGAATATATGCATTCAATTTTAATTAAATTTCATTCCTTTTTTTGTTTGGTAAATTATTCCATTCTCTAAATAATAAGATATTTTACTCACGCGTCATTTTTTCTTAGGAAGCTCATCTTTTTTTGTATGTTATTACTATTACTAATTTACTACTATTATTTTTCTTTAAATGGGAAGGATTTTTTTAACTCTGATATAAAAATTAGAAGTGTTACTTTTCATCTTAATCATTGATTTTCGTCTATCTAACAATTATAGTTTATTTTTTTTTGGAGTTACCCAACCCTAATTATCTCTTTGAGACGAGTTGGCTCCCTCCGGTATCCCCACGAGTTTCGACTCTTTGAGCAGGCTATGAGACTAATCCGGAGTGCGGGGGAACAGTGATGGCTAAAGGTTCAGCCCCCTCCCCAAGAATGCATTCAGCGGGAATCGAACACATATCCAATCCCACTAACTCAGCGCCAAGTTACCAACTGAGCTGCACCCATTGGGTACAATTATAGTTTATTGAGTTATACTAGTTAATTAATTATTAATTTTAAATAAATGACAACCGTTAATAAATGAAAATCAACAACTAAAACAAAAAATAAGACTTTTAGGGCCTGTTTGGAGCACCTGATAAAGAAGATAGGATAGGATAACTTATCATATCTTATTTTTATCTCTTGTTTGATGGGTCAATAGGATATGATTAGATTATCTTATTGTCTCATTTTATCCTATCCAATACACGATTTCTTATCCTATGGGAGGAGCTGAGTTAGGATTCAACAGGATAGGATATCAATATTGGATACCCAATATATCCCCACATTATCCAATATACCCCCACGTTACCCAATATATTTGTATTTATTGCATTATATTTTGTTTTTTCTTTCTCTTTGTTTTTTCTTTCTCTTTTCTCCTTCTACATAATCTTATCAGATTGCTAATCAGGTGCTCATCAAACACATAACATAATATAGGCTTATCAGCTCCATATCATATTCTACCCTTATTCTACCTTATTGTAACATCCCGAGTGCTGACGAGGGCGAGGAGTGATCGCCGGTGCAAAGAGGCACAGACAAGGAGCGGCTCCTGACAGGCTTCCAGTGGGGGGTTATATGCATGAATGAATCGAATCGACACTCGAAAGAGAGAAATTCCAAAAACTGTGCAGGTATGAGACTACATAGTTTGTGATATGTAACACCCCGTGTATATCTGGTTTGTTATCATATCATCGTATTAAGCCACGCTTAATTAAAAAATGTAGAATATCTTTTTCTTTTCAATTATGACGTCATTATCAATTACCAAGTTGATTACTTAAATCACTTTCGAAATGTTGCCCGTATGTAATTGCAAATAGACAACTAGCTATACTGAATAACCTCAATATATGTATAAATAAAGGTGAGTATCTAACTCACGGATCTACAACACGTAGTCCGGACATAATCCTGATACATTAATACAACTCAAATCCAAATAAGACATAGTCAATCAATGTCGCATGGACAAACCACATGCTCACCCAAATAAGGCAACAAGCCCAACAGAGTCTCAAATCAAATAACAAGACAATCATAAAGATAGACGTAACAGCATCCAAGCCTCACAGTATAATCAGCAATATCTAACTCAGCTTCGGCCTCCTGCCGCCCGAGGTCTCAACCCCCGAGTTACCTGAACCTGAAATATGTGCCCCAAACGTAGGGTGAGATCTCTAAACAGAAATCTCAGTAAGGCAAAGGGTCCTCAAGGATTTCTCCACCCCAAGCTCACTTACATGTGCAATATAAGTTCAAAAGTAGTCATATCATATAAGTTTCAAAATCAGTGCAATGCAGCATATCATTATGTCATGTGTGTTAACTATTCTACTGATCAGAGGAAGTGTAGGTTGTACGTACGTCTACAACCCACAATAGTACACGCCAATGTCGTACCTGCCCACAGGAACTTAACCCCGTCTAGGCGAACATCACATACATCTAGTAGGGCATTTGCACTTAACAGCTCATCAACATTTCAATAAATCAATACATGAAAACACATCATGCATATAAACCATTCCCCCAAGGGGCATGGTGGAACCAACAATGGCTAAACCGAGGACACAAAAGCTTACCTTGCAAGCTAACTATCCAAACCAAGAGTCCACACAAGCTCAAAGTCCACAAACAGCAGAATCACAATCTGTTTTAGACCAGCAATATCATCAACAATCATACTTACAAGCATATAACATAAAGACAACGTTTTCCCTTTACGTTTCATGTCTTTAGACTTCTTATAAAGCCCTTAATCAATTAGATTCTGACTTAGATTAATTATTACAGAAGTCCACATTGACCAAACATGGGTCACTAACCCAAAATGTCATTCTGTATGAACAGTACCCTTACTGTCCTCGAAAACCCAAAATATCCGAATATATGTCGGGGCCATATTCAGATATTGATATCCGGATATCATATCTGAATATCACAAGACTCCATATCCAGATATTTCGCGACAGAATGCAGTTCTGCATTTTTGCGAAGATATCACTCAAAGGTTCAACTTTTAACCTATTATTACGTCCAAGCATGCATTTTTATACCCTATTAGGTTCATATTCGTGTTAGTTACTAGAACAACTCATTAAATATGTCAAGACTCCACTTTTAACCAATAAAACTCATGATTAAAGGTGGTGAAGCTTACCCAAGCTCAAAACAGAGGTATAATGACTCTTGGAGCTCTCACAACAGCTCTTCAAGTTCTGACTTTGAAGGTGCACGAAAATGGCACACCACAATGGTTCTTTCTCACCAAAGGTAGCTTCTTTGAAGCTCAAAATGCCAAGAAAAGGTCTCCTCTCCAACAACTCAGAAAACAACACCTTAAACCTCCCCAAACAAAAGCTCAACTCAGAACAAAGGCTGCCTCATACACTCAGAAGCCACTCCACTAAGTGTATGCAAGATTAAGAGGGAAGAATCAAGCAAAAGGTGACAACTTGATAGTTTTTCAAAAAGAGGAAGGCATGAAAAGGGAGGAGGCTGATCACAGCTCCAAAGGCTCACGTAGAGTCAGATTATGGCCTAGGGTTATGTGCCAAAAGTTGTATTTATAGCCGATTAAAACTTAATCGCACTGTATTAGCGCTAATTGTTACGCTTAGCATTTCAATCCCAAACTTAGGATTATGAACCTACTCATTTTTCTAAGTTTTTTCATATTTTTATTTTATTTTTCGCAGCACCTTTCCGGTACGCGCTTTTATTTAGCCAGTATCAGTTCTGGCACCAGTTCTCATTATTTTGACCTGAAACTTGTTATGCCAGTGCTATATATTTTTCTAGTGACATATACACACTTTTCATAATTTTCCGGGATAATTTTTCGGTACGCATTTATACCGTGGAGCAGAACCGGTATCTGCATTTTTCATCAGAAAATCGACTTTCAGCATTCTTAATCACTTACTATAATTATTTAAGCCTTCTCATATTTATTAGGGTCAATTATGAAATTATTTTATAATTCTCATATTTATTTAATTAATTTCCTAAATTAACGGTGCAGGTTCTTACAGGATAGCTTATAAGAATTAATTGGTACTACCTATACTAACAAGATGCATCTACTTTTCGGTGGCCCAAAATGGAAGAATTTCATAGTTAAGCGTGCTTGACTTGGTGCAATTCTGGAATGGATGACCTCCGGGGAAGTTTTCCCGTGAAGTGTGCGAGGGAGGACTAAGAATTAATTGGTATTACCTATACTAACAAGATGCATCTAATTTTCGGTAGCCCGTAACGGAAGAACTTTATAATTAAGCGTGCTTGACTTGGAGCAATTATGGGATGAATGACCTCCTGAGAAGTTTTTTCAGGAAGTGTGAGAGTGAGGAAAAAACACACTGAAAAATTTCATGTTAGTATATAGGAATAGTCATTAACTCTTGAAGCGGCCAGACGTTACACCGGTCCACCAAACGAGCCCTTAAATTTTACTCTTGAGTCAACAAAAATAAAATTCCCTCCCTTCTTTAAATTTATATAGGATTGCATCAAAGTCTAGGAATAAAGGCTAATCCAAATAAGACAAACGAGTTGAATTCATCTGTCTGCATTTCTTATTGTCATGCCTGAACTTGTTATCTCTATTAACAGTCAATAACTAAAAAATAAAAAATGTCAACAACACTTTCCATTTTAAAATAATTGCTATTTTAAAATATTTAATTCGTTTCAAATTATTTTTTACTTTAAAAAAGATTTAAAAGACAACAAGTTTTTTCAAATCTTATCGTTCTTTCTTAATATTTTAACCAAATTAAATGAGAAGGAGAATTAACAAAGTAAAAAAAGAATTAAATTAAATCAAATTATATTTCACAGAAATCAAGGATATAACTCTTTTAATTCTTTTTTTATAAAATTTTGCAGAATAATTGAAACTTAAAGAGAAATAAAGAAGTCAACGAATTAAAAAATGAGGTTTGATATTTCTCATGTTATAAGAGATAAAATTATCTCATACACACACATAAAAAAGTGTGGGCCCATAAAAAGAGAAGAGAAAAAAAATATGAGTCTCACATATTTTTATGTATGTGTAGCCATGAAGGAGATATAATTATCTCCTATGAGAGACATTAAATCTTAAAGTAGTTTTTTTAAGGGAAATATCTCTATCATGTTACCTGAGATAATTTTATCTCATGCACACACAAAAAGTGAGTGACGTCCACTTATTTTTCTCTCTCTTCTCCATGGTGGATCTATCCACTTTTCTGTATGTTGCATAAGTGATATGCGTCCAGCATATGATACTTTTTAAGTTAAAAGAAGCAAGGAATTAATTATAAATGAGTGAAAATAAGTCATAAATGCAAGAAATATTGATTATTCCTTATCAATCATTCTCTCACTAAATTTAGCATCTTAATAACAGGAAACATCAATAATCAATAATGAAGTGAAGGAGAGAAGTTGAAGTTCTCCAGCCAGCGCGTTTTGCGCGGAGCATGGCGCAAATCACGCCATTTCAACCTTTTGATTCAGCATCTCCGTGCGATTTGCGCGGTGACTAGCGCAAATCGCGCCATTTTGAAGCTTCAGCTCTGTTTTTCCGCGCGATTTGCGTGGATGCTGGTGCAAATTGCGTGGGCGATATTTTTTAATTTTAATCCGATGCGAATTACACAAAAAATGGCCCAATTGGAGGGCAATTGAAAGTAGGTTTTCCCAAAACCTAATAAAAGGATCAGAAACAGAGGAAGGAGCAACTTTTTGACAAGAAGGAAAAGAAAGACAACAAAGAGAGTGAGAATTCTTGGGAGCTTCTTGGAGTTTCAGAGATTCGAACGATCAAGACGGAAGATCTTCATCTTCTTTCTCTTCTCTAGGTTCTGAATTTATTTTCTTTTATATTAATTTTGTCAGACATGAATATGTCTGGCTAGTTTTTATTATTGTGGTAAGGGTCACAACCCTTGATGTGAACCCCTTGTAGTTTGGTTAATTTTATGTTTATTTATTTAGATTTAATTTTTTTAGACCAAAGCCTAATTTTAGTTCCGCCCATTTACACCCATGCGAGATGCACAAAACTCATAACTGGTAAGCTTTCAACAAAATCAGGGATAATGCCGGTATCTTGACCGTGTGATTAGGGGGAGGTGATTGAGTACGTAATTTAAAAGCTTGAGAGACTAACCTATAAATTTTATAACTGTAGGGGTTATTACGTGAATGCTTTAGTTCTTACATCGTGGATGCATGGTCTCTCCCTCTCTCCTTTTTTTTTTTTAACTACAATTTAAGAAACTAAATTATTTCAACAAATAGTTGTAGTTCAGTTACTTGCATGAGAGCTAAACAGTGTAAATGAAAGGAGTTTGGTTCAATTCTCTCATGTTACCTTTGAGATGAGCTTAAAATTAGGGGTGTGTCTGGAGCGATTCATAACCGATTTTAATAAAAAATCGAACCGAATCGGTTTTAAATGGTTTGGTTTTCAAACCGAACCGGTTTTCTTCTTTTAAAACCGATTTTTAATTTTCTAAACCGGTTTGAAACCGATTCTAAAACCGGTTTATGGTTTATAATCGGTTTTAAAACGATTTTAAATCAAAATCGGTTATGAACCATAATTCGGTTATCAAGTTCAAAACCGATTGTTTAACAAATTCAAAATCGGTTTTTGATGAATTGTGCTATTTTTATAAGTAGTCGTTTGTTTCTCCCGATTATAGGTAGTTGACTAACTATTTCTTGCAAGAATCTTCATTGTTTTGGAACTCTCCGGACGAAATGATTCTTATAGAAATTGTTTCATGTTGTTTTGAGAGTGATTGGTAGAAGAACAGTTGAATTATTTTAAAATTATACAAAAAAATTGCTTCGTTCTCTCAAGATTTATGTTACTACATTTGAACTGATGGAGGAAGGTATGGGTAGAGGTGTTCAAAATAATCAAAAGAACTAAACTAATCCATAACCAAACTGCTCCACATTTTAAAAACTGGTTATTTTTAAAAATCGATTTCGTATGAAACTGTATTTTATTTTTATAAACTGTTTATTTACCAAATCATAAAAATAATTGGTTATCCATAACCAAACTGGTCTATAATTAAAGAACAAATAAGTAAATCCGTTGAGAATTGTCCTTTTAACGACGCTCTCAGAGATGTTAAGCCAATTGATTAATTTCTTTGCCCTTTTCGTTATGAATTTTTTAATTCCATCTTTGTCATTTTAAAGCCTTCGTCTTATCAAGTTATGAGTTTGCCCAGAGGCTTGTATGTGGTTATTTTTTTTTTTGGGAAAAAAGGTTTTACGTTACATAAGAAGTGTTTTCTTAGGATCCAACATTTTGATTTATGTGTATTTTTTTTTTTAAATAAATGTTTTTTACTTGAGCTGCTCATGATAAAAAATAATACTTATTTGTTCTTTAATTGTAGAGCAGTTTGGTTATGGATAATCAATTACTTTTATGATTTGGTAAATAATCAGTTTATAAAATAAAATATAGTTTCATATGAAACCGATTTTTAAAATGTGGAGCAGTTTGGTTATGGATCGGTTTGGTTTTTTAAAACATTTTGAACACCCTTCTTAAAATCTTTATGTCCAACTCACTCCACATTCCAAATTAGTCTTATAATTTATTTAAAAATTTGAAGCTTGTAGGAATAACACTAGAGAGCCTACTCCTCTAGGTAATTAGGATTCTTGTCAAAAAAATAAAAATAAAAACTAAAATATTTGCTAGTTATTAACGCCGATGCTACAACTTGTAAGACATATCCTCGAAATGGACAAAATTTCTTTTGACACCCTAAATTTACATTCAAAACTGGATATAGCTAACTGAAGAGGGGAGAAAACATATAGCGTGCGCCGTGTAAAACGGAATACAAGTTACAGAGGAACATGAAAAACTAGATGGAGTAGGTACAACATACAAACAACAATATCCTAGTACATTTTTCAACCCTTCTTTAAGCGACTAGTTTTTTCTCGGAGAATGCAAGCCAGATGAAGAGGCTTTGGAAATTACAGATATTATGGAATGAAAAGCATTGGCCGCTATCTTGCATTTAATCTGACCTCTTTTTGGAAGTGGCTTTTTCCCTCTGAACCTGTTCCTGTTGGCAACTTCTGCAGCTGGAACATGACCGACTCTGTTATTCATTCTCTTAATTATGCCACCTAAAACAAACTGATATATCTTGAATGTATGTAGTGAGTGTTTCTGAAAATTGGGATGAGAGGAACGTAAGGTCCATGAGTTTATATAGAACCCTGGATATGCTTATCGTAATTTCAAGGTGAGGCTCTTGGGCAAGTGATTGCAGATTTAATTAATATTGGAAGGAAGGTGAAGCAGTTCTGTCTCACTGGTGGGGGTTGGGAAGCATGCCAGCTATTTTGTATGACTCTACAAGATTCCTTTCAGCTCAACGAAGGACAAACTGTGCTTCGAATCCATAGGTTTGATTTAGGGCGACCCAAAAATAAACCATCATTGGCGTATGTAGCTTCAGAGAGACAGTACGGTTGTTTTAACGAACACGTGCGGGGTAAATGCGAAGATGTCTTGTGTCTGGTAATGGGATTTAGTCCATTGTTTTTTCTTGGGCAGATGCGTTTGTTTAATATTTCATATACCTATTGGTTCCGAATCAGGGAAGCAAGGTGTATTCTATATCTATAGTGTTGTTGTCCTCATTTTCAGTGTAACTTAGAAGGCTAGCTGGCTATATGTATATATTACTAGACAGCCTGCTGATCAAGCAAATATAAATATACTCCGATATTAAATATTGAAGATGATGCTGCTGCGTCACATGGTCATGAAACTTGTTTCGCAGGTATTAAATACGATCACCGTGCACAGTCTTCTGCCAGGTACAAATAAATATCCAAAAAAAGATTTGCCTCTTTCCATTTTATCTTACTTTCTCACAGTTTCTGTTATGTTGAATTAGTCTTCCCGTCATGGTTGTCTAGGTGGTGTTTGCTTGACCCAATTGTATAATAAGGGGAAGATTCAAGACTGCCTCCTGTTTGGCTAGACATAAGGACATGGATAGATAGAACTTGTCTATATTCTCTATTCAGTTGTTTCAGCACATCTAAAATGTAATTGAACCTAACGCAATGAATGGGGTAGATAATTAATTCTTTGATTGTGACTGCTATAACCATAGACCCCATAGGGTATCGCTGGCGAGCTTAACCCAATTCTACCACAAACTTGTAATCTTATTGCGGTTCTTAATTTAATATCAGAAGATTTTGAACAATTAACTACAACCCGTCAATGCATTGCTTAGTCATTGTCTTTGACGAACAAATTAGATTACTATTCATTGGGCTACTGCTTCAATATTCCAATCTTCTTCATGTTCCATCATTTCTCCTGTATCACGAAGTTGTCAGCCATAGAGTTTATAATGATATAGCATCAATCAATAAACTGCTCTGTTCCCGTCAGGCGCATTACTCCTCCGAGACTCCAGACCACTATCTCTTTACTCAAAATAAAATGTATGTAATAGTACATTCTTCAAATTTCATTTGTCCTCAGTCAAACAGTCTAAAAAAAAAGTTGAATATCATCCATCAGCCTAAAATCATCCATGGATAAACCAACTGACGAGAAATGAAAAAGAACGTGTGTAATGTTCATCAGCTTGCATGATTGATGACTGTTCTCACACAATAACATGAGACTTTTCAGCACACAATTCCTGGAAAAAATTTCGAGGAGGTTATCTATCTCAAAATTGTTCCAAGTCAAGCACGCTTAACTATAGAATTCTTAAGTTATGGACTATCGAAAAGTAAATGTATCTTGTTAGTATAAGTAGTACTAATTAATTCCTTTAAGCTATCCCTCACTATACATTCCCATACCTGCACAGACTCTGGATTCTTCTTATTCGGGTGCTGATTCGATTCATTCATGTACTCCTCCTGCTAAAAACTTGCCAGAGTCGCTTCTTACCGTCACAACCCTCCTTCCTACCTTAACGGGTATAGACTCCAAACATTGGGCATGACAACTAGTAGTACAGCCCAACCCACGTTCCAAAGGACTATCACTCTCTGCCCTTGTCAGTGCCTAAGATGTTATATGCCAACTAGCTTTCGTATGATTCGTCCTCAAACCACACCGTATTGGGAGAAAAGTCATGCTCTAATACCACTTGTAATGTCTAGCCGCTTAAAGGATCAATGATTGTCTCACACACTAACACGAGACTTTTCAGCGTGCTTTGTCCTCACTCTCGCACACTTCCTGGACAAATTTTCCAAAAGGTCACCCATCACAAAATTGCTCAAAGTCAAGAACGCTTAACTATGAATTTCTTAAATTATAGGCTACCGAAAAGTAAATGCATCTTGTTAGTATAGGTAGTACCAATTAATTTCTTTAAGTTATCATCAATTGTACAGTCTCATACCTACACAGCCTCTGGATCCCTCTTATTCAGATATTGATTCGATTCATTTATGTACCCCTCCCACTGAAAGCTTATCAAGAGCCGCTCCTTACCATCACAACCCTCCTACCTTAACGGGTCTGGACTCCAGACACTGGGCATGACAACTGGTAGTACAATCCAACTCACGTGCCAAAAGACTATCACTCTCCACCCTCATCAGCGCCAGGATGTTACAATGTATATCACTGTTAATTTGTCTACTAACGACTGAAATTATCTCATGTAACCGAACCATATAAATTGAAAAAATAGATAATCCATTCCCAATGTGATTTATTTTGTCAGCTACGAATGCGCAAAGATCAATGTCTGATGCCATCATAAGAGTCGTCCCCCTTCCGGGGCTAAAATTGTACAATTGAAGTGCCATAGCATCGTGACAACAACAGGATCTATTAGCATAGGAATGACATTAGTGGGACAAATGAAATAATTATTGTCTTTCACAGCCGAGTAAAATGATAAATTGTTCCCGTAACAATACTACCTTGGCACTCAGTAGCCATGGTTGAGAATAAAAATAAACTGTTCAATAACAGTATTGTTATCTTGGTAACAGTTGTTGAGGGTGAGATAAGTGTCGGCCGTGACAGCAAGGGACGAGAATTCAGGAAATAAAAAAACACGAGGTAAAGTAGTAATTGAAAGAATTCCATACCCGATCAAGGAAGGAGGTAATATTCTTAGATTTCATGTCAAGTCAAAAACAGTAAAGCAAATGGAGAAAGCTAAACAAACTAGGCACTGATTCTTTGCCTAAAGCTAGAGAAAACTCTCTGTTCTTTTCGTCGATTAAGTCACAAAGGCAGCTATATATTAGAGAGTTGCCATTAAATGTCTGTGGTAATGCTTCGGTTAGAAAAATTTGAAAATGAATGCTGTAGTTAGATTCCCAGCCAGAGCTTCATGCCATGGCACAGGAATAAACTCCAACATCACAAAGAGGCTCACCCCCAGGTTCTCGCCCAGCAAAAGAACATGCAACTTGCACTCAGACAAAATGAAGATGCAACAACGCAGCATCTGTTTCCAGAAGAATGTTCTAAAAAAATCTTGGGATAACAATAGAATTACAGCCATATCATCAAATAGAGACCCCAAAACTGGGCAAAACTCATTCTCCCCAGCAGAAACAGTAGATAGATTTTACACATGTATCAATGAGAAAGAGCTACGACAATTGGGCGAATGCATATCTCAAGATGCTTGCTTTGATGACTGTGCCTTCATCAAACCATTCCAAGGAAAGAAGGTTTGTATCCGAACCATACATTTTACCCAAAATAAGCCACGGTTGATTGCACCAAGTAAATAGCTAGACTACGTACATAGTCTAAAAATAACATTGCAGGAAGTGATGCACTTTCTAGAGCAGCTTACTGCTAGCATGGGCCAGAATGTGAAATTCAGAGTGAGACATATATGCGAGGGAGATGATTTTACTGTTACAGCTATCTGGCACTTGGGTCATATTCTTTTCCTCCATTTTTCTACTGTTCTCTTTACTATTTACTGAATGATCCAAGGCTTGATGACAATCTTTGTGGTATGGTAGAATGGAAAAAGGAACAGATCCCATTCACTAGAGGTTGCAGCTTCTTCAAGTTATCAGAAGAAGGAGAAAACATGATCATTCGGTACGTATAAAAACAATTAACTTCTCAACATTCCACAATTGTAACAAATAAAACAAATACTCACTATAAAACTGTAATTCAGGATAGCTGAAGTATTAATTGAATCACCGGTCAAACCTGGAAGCATAGTTTTGGTAACTCCGAAAAAACAAACTGACTCTTATAAGCATTCTGATTCTTATGATAATGAAAGCATCTTTTATTTTATTTTTATTTTTCACCTTGACGCACTATCATCTAATATCCGATAATCCTATGGTATTTTGTTTCCTTTTGGATCTATTCAATTGGCTTTTCCCCTTGAGAAATTCAGACTCTGTTGAAGACCGTGACTTCATTATTTGATGAGTTTCCAAATGTAGCTCAGTGTGAGTAAGCGTTTCTAGGTTTTTTATTTCCTTTTAATTACCCAACATATCCATTAATATATGTGTGTGTTCCTGCAGGGTTCTTAAGTAGTCCTCATGCAATACTAAATTGGGTATTGAAAATTTACAATATATTTGTAGCGCCCTTGCTTAATCCACTACTAGATGGTTACATAAAGCTATGGAGCTTCATGGTTCGATTGCTTAGCTATGCATTCAATATTGTGATTTTTATTTCTAAGATTTTCTTCAAGTAGAGAGCACACTACCCCGAAATAAGAACTGCTTGCACTAGAGGGAATGATCTCATATCACTTGCCATCATCATCGGTACCGCTGTTCCACCATGTCTCTAACAACGAGAGAGCAACCAACGGTCCTATAACTGGAGGAAGTGGTGGAGGCCTGCTAAAGGTGACTATTGGGTCAATCATCTCTTTAGTAGCTAGCCCCATTTCTCCAGATTCGTTGTTCTCTTGTTTATCAGGCGTTGAAGTCGCCAATATACCTGTTTCAAGTACAAAATTTTATTTCATAAATTTTCTTATATTTGCCAGTTCCCATAATCTAACGAGTAACAATTGCTTCCCCAAGAACACGAGATAAATAAATAGATAAAACTGAGAATGTAAAAAATAAGTCACGAGATAAATAAATAGATAAAACCGAGAATGTAAAAAATAAGTCAATGTCAAGCAACACGATCTCTACACTATAGGCATCAAAGATATTTCACACTACCTCGTGATCCATTCAAATGGTTCATACGCTTGAATCTGTATATTGCGGGCTGCAGTAGTAGTTGAATAAGTCCCCGCATATACACTATAACTACCGTGCTGTCCCTGCAATAATCGAAGAAAACAAGCTTTATATTACTAAAATATTCCCTCGTGAGAATAATTTAATCATAACAACTGCAACATAGGAAAAGCCCGATAAACGTCATTAGACTATGTTAAATATTATAGATACAAGAGAAAATGATAGTAATTCTTGTTATATTAAACTACACAACATTGGTGCTATTATATAGCAAACCAATTGAAGAATACAAAGAGACACACTCAATGTGGAACTTCTACACTATTAACACTAACACTCTTAACACTCCCCCTCAAGCTGTAGCATATAGATCATATACTACAAGCTTGATACATAAATAATACTCCCATTAGGAACCAAAAACAACAATGCTACATCAACGAAATGAAATGACTAAGTACAACAAATCAACTGGAATGACCATCAGTCTGAAGAGCTGATAAAGAGACAGTGCAGGAATGGACATCAGAGCATGGATGGTGCCGGAAATTATCATCGACAAAGACAACTGAGCTGACCAGGACATCAGCATCAAGATCCCTCTCAGACATTTCATGTAACAGTTGGTGAGCAGCCGTGGTTTACCCTTGACTATGCTACAAGCTTATTACAAGAAAGACCAAGTAACATAACATCAAAATAAATCTCCTAAATGAGAAACCAAAAATCAACAATGTGCTAAAAATGACGTCGAAATGAACATCAACATGGAAGATGCCGGAATGATCATCAGTAACATGGACAGTGCTCCCCCTCAAGAGGAACTTCGGTGTCGGAATTAACATCAGCGGAGACAACATCAACAACTTGGACAGTGCTCCCCCTCAAGATGGATGATGAATAGTATAAATACTCCATCTTGGGAAGAAAGAAGATTAAAGAAAAAACAAAGCTTCGCGGAATCGGAAAATTCGCCGGAGACGGCGGTGGGTCGTCGAACAAGTTGTCGGAGACGGTGGTGGATCGCCGAAAAGTCATCGGAAAAGTCGCCGGAGACGACTGTCAACGATGGACGACGCGGTCAACGGTGGTCGGTCAACGACAACGGTGGTCAACCCAACAACTTCCCAAGGATCATTCTTTTTTGATGTGACAGATCAGTCTAAGCTGCAGTCACAGAGCATACTAAGAAAAACCCGAAAAAGAAATAGCAGCGGGAATCCCTCAAGGAGGGTGATATCTCTCTATAACCATATTGAAATTATGGAAAATAGAACTAAGTTAAACGGATTAAGATTCCTCTTGTTAGGCTCTAGATACCATATTAAATATTATAGATACAAGAGGAAATGATAGTAATACTTGTTATATTAAACTACACAACATTGGTGCTATTATATAGCAAACCAATTGAAGAATACAAAGAGACACACTCAATGTGGAACTTCTACACTATTAACACTAACACTCTTAACAAGACTAAACATTATTATTAGTATTATTATTCTCAGTTAGAAACTACACATTAATTCTTGCAACAACTATGATGAGATAACAAGTTGATGTTAACATAATAATCCAATACATGAAGCTAGCCAAATCACAAAAATACAAGAGTAACTCCTTTTGATAAAGCATCTAGAAATAACTTCGAAATAGGAAATTGGGCAACCGATAACAGTATTGTTTTGGTCTGCAGAGAAGAGAAACGAAAAATCGTTGATATTGAATATTAAATGAAATGGCATAAATACAATTCTCATATGCCACAAGAAAAACATGGATGATTATGGACTATACAATAATACGATTCTTGGCACCCATTTAATTTAAAGCTCTTTTTTTAAAAAAAGGAAAAAAAAAAGAAAAAAGAAAAGAAAAGAGGAACAAAAATTAAAACAAAATAAAGAAAGAAATTGGAAACTATGCCACCAACGGAATCCTTGTATTGCATCTCATGAGTTTATGACTACAATTATAAATACCCAACGCTGCTTCAATGATCGTATTGGTATACATCAAGATCATACAATTTGGTGAAATTATTTTGGCAATAAAAGTTGAGACATTAAATTAAGACAAAGTCTCAGAAACAAACGAAAAGCTTTGACAATATATTTAGATGATCAAAAGAATAAGCGGAAGACTTACAAAAAAGGTTCAATCTCGATGGTTAAGAATAGGGAATTGTAGGAAACACAAGCAGAACAAAGGAGTTCGCAATCGCAATGGCTCGTCTGAGTGTGAACAACAAGAAGTGCCACTGGAAATAGGTAGTTCCCGAAGTTTCCGGACTTCAATTTTATAAAGACACGTGTGCGAGGGGTTCAACATCTAGATGCAGATACTTATTTTTTTTGTTTTATGATTTGGGTTGCTATTAGAATTTGGACTTCTTACAAAGTAACAGTACATTACAAAAAACGGTATCTGTATTCGAGTGTTTATAGTTTGGGCTGGAAACATCATCTGTGGTCTGTGAGCCCAGCGCTTTGAAAGATGGGTTGCTATTATAAATAATAGTGAATGCCCAAATCATAACAAATTGCAAAAAGGGTGATTTTGCGGCCTTCAATTCAATGTGTCGCGCCACAGCCTCTTAATGGAAAGAATGGTAGTCTAAAAGAGAAGGACCAGCTACTCCTAACCTATTTTCTTTTACACGAGAATTGGGATGAATTCGGAAATCATGGGTCATTTTATTTATATATTTCTTATTTAATTTATTTTTAATATATGAAATTTAATTATTTATCACTCATACTTGATTTCTTAACCATTATTTACGTGATGACTGATGATAATAATGCCAAGAAAGAATGTTATAACAAATATGTCGTATAAAAATGTTATAATAATGAAAAATATGTTTCTCATGTTGCAGGAATTTCTGTAATCGTTTTTTAACTATATATTTCATGAAATACATAATTAAAAAAAAAATCAGTAATAATTTTTTAACTATGTGTTCTCAGGAGTACATAGTTAAAAAAAAATAACTTTAATATTATAATTATATATCTCCGAGAGTATATAATTAAAAAATAATTGCAAAAATTTTTTAACATGAGAAAAAAAGGACCCTGTAACAATATGCCAAATCTGTTTTATTTTAAAAATGGGGGTATAATAATATTAAAATTGTTAATCATAAACTAATAGTGAATTAATTAATAACTTGCCAAAGGATTCCTGTGGCCTACAAGATCCCTGCCCACCGGACTCTGTCTAAGTAATACGAGTCATTGATGGGTCCATATTCAACTCCAGCAACAGACCAGCTAATGCTATTGTTTCATTCTTTTTGGATTCTCTTTTAAAGTTTAAAGCAACCATTATCTTGAATATTCGACTTATCCTTAATTTAATCAGTGCCTGAGCAACTAAAATACTTTTATTTAGGGTCACAGAACATGATCCAACTGGAAATGGATCATTTCATATAAATCTTTTTTTACATAATTATGTAAAAAAATAACAATCATATACAGGTGAATTAATGGTTATAATTTTATAATTATTTATTTTATTTTATTTTTATTTTTTTATTATCATTATATAATTATGATCTTTATATAATTATGTTTTTTTTTTATATGAGAAAATCGAGATCGACTCAAGTAATGACGTTCAAACCATGAATAGCAGTAGGCCTCAAATGGCATAGTTTCTTGTACTTTTTGTATTGACGAATAATCACATTCGTACAATAATTTCCCAAATCGGGGCTATGACTCTGGATTGCTTTGCATGATAATCAACTTTTCCTTTTCCTTTTTTTGAAAATATAATCAACTTTTCCTTGACACATCGTAATGAAAAAACAATATGTGATAAGACTCTACAACTACGTCAATGATTTATTTAACGAGGAATGTTATATTTATAATTTATAATTATATTTTAATTGTTAATTTTTATTAATTAGTGATTATTATTTATTGTAAATTAATAATTAATTAATTAATTTGATTTGTAAAAATAATAACTGTTAATTGACAAAAATTAATTTATTACTATTAAATTTTAACCGTTGATTTTCGTCAATCTAACGATTATAATTTATTGAAATTAATAATTAATTAATAAGTGTGACCCAATAAATTATAACCATTAAATTGACGAAAATCAATGGTTAAAATTTGATAGTAATAAGTAGTAAGAAAAAAAGATAGTAAGTATAACATCTCCCTTACTTTTATTATTCTCACATTTATTCATATTAAATAATTAATAAATCCACCCATCTCAATTTGGATTTAAATTCGTTTTCATATGACGTGTTGATGCCATATTTGGAAAGATAAAATATAAATTATTTCTTTCACAAGATTCACATTTTCTTATATAAATATCCAGAATTCATGCGTAAATTATTTGTATATGCTTTTTTCATCCCTCTATCTAAACATGAATTTATTATATTTAAAAAACAAATCCTCAAATTCTCTCATTAATATTAGATTCTTTATTTTCAAATGATAGCATATTTGACATCAAGTTTTGTATGAACATAACCATGGACCACTGCATCTTTTCCTTAGTGAAATGACGATAAAAAAAATAAAAAAATTAAGGGTAATGGATAGCGTGGGTCTTGAATCTTGATTATAGATGAAAGCCACATGATATTTGACACTTGACCTACTTTATTGGTTCGCCTGAATCGCAAAGCTTCAACTTTAAAGTTATTCTTCTTATCTTTTTTAGATTGGCCAACTCTGTGAAATGATATTTTATTAGTTTGATTTCTAATTTGTCTACCGAAAAAGAAATATTTAAACAGCAATGTTGTATACATGTAATGTATTTTCAGTAGTTAATTTTAATTCTCAATAAATTACATTCATCGTAGGTACAAAAAATAATAGTTAAAATTAAACGTAAAATTTATTATTATTACACTAGTGTAAGAATAACCTGTTCATCAACTGGTATAAGAATAAAAAGTCATATATTTAATCTTAATCATTGATCTGCTTAAATCTAACATCTCACACATCTTAATAGTTAATTTTTGTATATCTGACGGTTGTAATTTATTAAAAATTAATAATTAATTAACAAAAATAACTCAATCAACTACGATCGTTTGATACATGGAAATCAATAGCTAAAATTAAGTGTAAAACATAGTAATTATTCTTACATAATTGCAAATTGATCCCTCTCTCTATATGTAGGAACTCATAAAGTTTTTTTTTTTTTTTTTTTTTGGTAAGGAGGAACTTATAAAGTTATTCAGGAAAAAGGAAGTCGAGTAACATTAGGCTGGAGCAATGCTGAGATAATATTTAGTGAAATATATTCAAATAATAAAAGCAATATGCATGTCTGTAAATGAAATTGAGATACAATTTAGACAAGTTTCCTTCGTTGAGAGAATAATGTAACTTGTCTCTGTTCCAAACACACAGATACTTTCGGCTAAAGGGAAAAATGAAAAATAAAAAGGCTCCATTCTTCTTTTCTTTATCTCGTGGTGGACAAAACCAAATCACTCGTATGTTTGACTTGGTTGAAGCACCATATTATTCCTTAACTCGCATTCCATCACACATGTTCCTTTTGGCAAGGGAATAATAAATATGAAAGCACTAGTGCACTATCCTTTAAAATTTATCAAGACAATAATGCCCGATTAGGTGTAGTGCATTATCATCTACACCATATTACTGTATTGAAGTCTTAGCATACTTTGCTTACTGAAGCAGACAACAAAGCCATCCGATATATATATAGACACACACATCGAAAGTTAATCATAATATCTTCCCCAGCCATTTATAGTCTTTGCCTGTTATAGCAATAACATAGATCTTGAAGAGAACCACGTGGACCATGAGTAGAGGTGAAAGCTCTGGTGGTGGACAGAGCTCTTTGGGTTACCTGTTTGGGTCAGAAGAGCAGCCAAATCAGCCTTTGCCCTTAAAGACAGTTTCATTGCCACCATATGGCATTGACATCGACAAGCCCTCTGAGGGTGGGGGTGCTCCTTCTAACACTCAGACTCAAGCTACCATCTCAAACAATCAATCTCAAGGCCTGCATTTGGGAAACTTTGTAGCTGTAAGCTTCTGTATTTGATATCTAATTAGTATTTGTTAAATATCATAGAGACAAGAGAAAATGATAGTAATCCTTGTTGTATTAAACTACACAACATTGGTGCTATTATATAGCAAACCAATTGAAGAATACAAAGAGACACACTCAATGTGGGACTTCTACACTACTAACACTAACACTCTTAACACTCCCCCTCAAGCTGTAGCGTATAGATCATATGCTACAAGCTTGATACATAAATAATACTCTCATTAGGAACCAAAAACAACAATGCTACATCAACGAAATGAAATGACTAAGTACAACAAATCAACTGGAATGACCATCAGTCTGAAGAGCTGATAAAGAGACAGTGCTGGAATGGACATCAGAGCATGGATGGTGCCGGAATTATCATCGGCAAAGACAACTGAGCTGACCAGGACATCAGCATCAAGATCCCTCTCAGACATTTCATTTAACAGTTGGTGAGTAGCCGTGGTTTCCCCTTGACTATGCTACAAGCTTATTACAAGAAAGACCAAGTAACGTAACATCAAAATAGATCTCCTAAATGAGAGACCAAAAATCAACAATGTGCTAAAAATGGCGTCGAAATGAACATCAACATGGAAGATGCTGGAATGATCATCGGCAAAGACAATTGTGCTGGAATGACCATCAGCAACATGGACGGCGATCCCCATCAAGAGGAACTTCTAAACAGTGCCAGTATAATCATCGGCAAAGACAATTGTGCTGGAATGACCATCAGCAATATGGACGGTGCTCCCCCTCAAGAGGAACTTCTAAACAGTGCCAGAATTATCATCGGCAAAGACAATTGTGCTGGAATGACCATCAGCAACATGGACAGTGCTCCCCCTCAAGAGGAACTTCTAAACAGTGCCGGAATTATCATCGGCAAAGACAATTGTGCTGGAATGACCATCAACAACATGGACAGTGCTCCCCCTCAAGAGGAACTTCTAAATAGTGCCGGAATTATCATCGGCAAAGTCACCGGAAAAGTCGCCGGAGACGGCTGTCAACGGTGGACGACGCGGTCAACGGTGGTCGGTCAACGACAACGGTGGTCAACCCAACAACTTCCCAAGGATCATTCTTTTCTGATGTGACAGACCAGTCTAAGCTGCAGTCACAGAGCATACTAAGAAAAACCCGAAAAAAAAATAGCAACGGAAATCCCTCAAGGAGGGTGATATCTCTCTATAACCATATTGAAATTATGGAAAATAGAACTAAGTTAAATGGATTAAGATTCCTCTTGTTAGGCTCTAGATACCATGTTAAATATCATAGAGACAAGAGAAAATGATAGTAATCCTTGTTGTATTAAACTACACAACATTGGTGCTATTATATAGCAAACCAATTGAAGAATACAAAGAGACACACTCAATGTGGGACTTCTACACTACTAACACTAACACTCTTAACAGTATTGATATTCATGACCAATCTCTTTTAACCTTTCTAACTATCATCTTATGTAGTTAATTTGTTAAACCATTTTTCTCAACATATATTAATGATTCAGGATCGCCCGTCAACAAAAGTCAACTCGGTTCCTGGTGGACATTCATCGCTTGGATACTTGTTTGGGGATAAGTGATATTTCTTTCTCCGTTATCCATGGTAATGGTGCTTCTGAAAAGGAGAATCGGCGCATATATATTGCAGCTTATATGTGTGGGTTTTGAATAATCACTTATAATTTAGTTTTAGAATGAAAAAAGACACCTCAAAAAAAATAAAAAAAATAAAATCAAATATGGGATAAGTTTTCCCAGTGTTGGATTGGCAAGGATCAAATTAAATCTAAAAATAGGTCAGGCTAAATAATATTCAAGTAGGTGTGGGTCACTACTGTCTTGGGAAAAAATCAGGGTGTGCTTTCTCTGTTAGTTTGATCAGGTTGAACTGAATGTTTAAGTGTGTTATTATTATTTTAGCTGTACTTCAAACAAATATAGTAAGTTATATACTTTCTCTCCAGTTTTTTGTCAGTTGATCTTCTCACATCACTTATATTTAAATTAAGTTGGCAAGGAACTTTTTTAATTGACCATGCGATAAGAGATTAAGAGCTAGCTACAGAATGATTCATGAACATCAAATGATAGTAGTTCAGTTGGTGTTAGGGAATTGAACAGATGAGGGTGAGAACATGTGTTCGATCCTTCACAGTATTATCTTTGGAAGAGATTTAAAATTTTAATCCCGGGACACGCCCCGATTCAGATTAGTCACGAAACAATGAACCTATTGGAATATCTTAAAAAAAAAAAATAATCATTTGCTTTCTGATTAACATATGTTTAAGGTTTATATACATAGGGTATATATGCTATTTAATTAACACGTATCATTATAAGTCCAAACTCTTTCTTTTTGCTCACAAGTAACCATACACTTACAGCTAGCTTTTTCAGAATCTTGTTCGAGGAAGTTTCTTTCTCTTTTATGTTTTCTTCCTTTTCCATTTTAATTTCACTCTTGGAGATAGGGGAGGAGGGAGGAGGGAGAGAGAGAACCGAGTAAAAGAACGATTCATGAATATTAATATTGGGCTAGATGTTGTGAATTTGAATCAATAAAATTTTTCATCTAAACACTTCAAAGAGTGAAAATCTGAACCTTATCATTGCCCAGGGAATTACAAGACAAAAAAAAAAAAAACTAATGGAGTTAAGTGGGAATTGTCTCTTCCGGCAGATGTCATGCATCACACGTTCACTCCAAAAGAAATCATAGACAATTCTCGCAGAACATTAATTGAGTGATTGAGCTTAATCTTTAATCTTGCGTGACATTTTTGTGATTTGTTTTTAAATGTGCATTTATTTTTTCTCTTCTGTCCATTTCAATACATAGGCAAGTAACGCAGTGGTACGTTCTGATGCATGTCATCGCTCAAAAAGGAATAGGGATATCTCACAGTTAAAAAAACAATAATTAAAGGAAGTACAGTTTTTAACTCAACAAAATTTCTACTGGTTATAAAACTCTTCTTACGATCAATATTTCATTATAGGAAAAATATTTGTTCTTTAAAATGACACACTTTATGTCATTTTACTCTCACAAAAAGATGAGATCCACATTTTTATATTGTTTTGTCCACTTTCTCTTTTTCTTTATTTATCTCTTTCTTCCACTTAAAATAGCACAACTTTATATCATTTATAATAATACACACTTTTCCCTTCATTACAATAGACAAATAGCTTTAAGGATTGATTCTTCTCGCAATTTTCGGAGGATCCTAATCCTGACCCTTAAATGTGTGTCGATTAGATTATGTTTCTGGCTCATCAGTTTTTTTGTGTTATAACTTAAGGAAATATAGCTTTGCTGTTTCTGCAAATAAAAAAAAAACTTCTGCAACAATATATAGAAAATCCAGAATATGATGATGGATCATGGGTTTTTTTTCAAAAAGGAGTGGGTCCCATTTTTTTGTGTGTCTGTTGCAAAAAAAACAAAAAACCATCTGCAGTGACTATAACTTACATGACTTAAGTAGTCTCTCTGATACTTACCAAAAAAGAAAAGTAGTCTCTTTGATATTCTATTGCAATTTACATTGTTTCTCGTATTTGTTTAGTTTCTTGGTTTTGCTTCCTGACTACTATGATGCATATGATTATGAAATCAATACCAAAACCAAACCGAAGAGTAGAGGATGCCTCTGATCACAAAAGTTACAAATTGTCTTAAGATTGTTGTCGAAGTCAGTAGGTGAATGATCACCAAAAGATTTGAATCTGATTGTAAGACATAAATTTAAAATGAAATCAACAATCAAATGCAATAAGAAAAATAAGAACAGACTCACAATATATAAGGAAAAAGAAATGATGAGAGTATGTAATGGAATCCGAGCCCAACGCAATTGTCCCCTTAAGATAATTTGTTCCCTCGCTATTGCTGAATGTAGATGAACACTTGTCTCCCAAGATATGATAGATTGCGTCTCAAGAATGATGACAACTACCAACCAAGAGCCTAAACGAATGCAGCAAGATGTCTGAGGAATCACAGGAATATATGAATGTCTGCATGGATGAAGGAAAAATCGAGCATAGTAACAATGCAGAAAAATGGATGATTTTTCAGAAAAGTGGATCATGGTTTATTTTTAAAAAAATGAGTAAGTCCCATTTTTTGTGTGATTGTGTTTGTTGCAAAAAAAAACCATCTTCAGTGACTATAACTTGCATGACTTAAGTAGTCTCTTTGATGTTTACCAAAAAAAAAAGTAGACACTTTGAAATTCTATTGCAATTTACATTGTTTCTCGTATTCGTTTAGTTTCTTGGCTTTACTTCCAGACTAGTATGATGAATATGATTATGAAATCAATACCAAAACTAAACTGAAGAGTAGAGGATGCTTGTGATCACAAAAAGTTACAAATTGTCTTAAGATTGTTGTCGAAGACAGTGGATGAATGATCACCAAAAGACTTGAATCTGATTGTAAGATAGAAATTTAAAATGAAATCAACAATCAAGTGCAATAAGAAAAATAAGAACAGACTCACACTATATAAGAAAAAAGAAATGATGAAAGTATGCAATAGAACCCGAGCTCAACACAGTTGTCTCTTTAAGACAATTTGTGCCCTCATTATTGCCGAAGATAGATGAACACTTGTCTCCTAGGATAGAATGAATTGCGTCTCAAAAATGATGCAACTACCAACCAAGAGCCCGAATGAACGCAACAGGATGTCTTAGGAATCACAGGGATATATGAATGTCTGTACGGATAAAGGAAAAAATCGGCAGAGTAACGATGCAGAAAAATGGATGGTTTTTCTGAAGGAAGGAGAGTTTATATATAGACGCCGGAGAGTCACGATTAAAAGCCGTCAGGTAACCGCGATCATTGTTGTCAAAAACTAGTGTAAAAACGTAAAAACTTACGTTTTTACGTTTTTACTAGAGTGGTGCGTGTTAAAACGCAAGTAAAAACGGTCCTTGATAAAAACTGATAAAAATGCCGCATAAAAACGTAAAAATGGTAAAAACTTACGTTTTTATCGTTTTGACCGTTTTTACTTAAAATGATTTTTTTTTTAAAAAAAGATGTACAAAAAAAAAATTAAAAAATAAATAAATTTCTTTTTCCCCAAATCATATGCATAGTATCTTGATATCTTTTTGTTTGGATATATGTCTTTTATAATTATGTCTTATAAAACTGCAATTCTATTATAAGTTATGTTATGAAAATCGTTTTGTGTTTTTGGATCATTGTGTGCATTGAAAGAAGTGGAATTATATCATGATGAGCGATGATCCAAAATCTGCAGAGTGTATGAAGCAGTTAAAGCATATTGGTTATCCATTACTTGTTAGCTATCACTGTTTATAGTTTTGATACCTGGTTATCAAAAATAATTTTCCTTGTTAGATAGATAAGTGGCTAACACATATGTTCATTATGAAATATATTTTTTACATGCATATATATAATTTTATATCTTGACCTTAAGTAGTAGAAAGTATAAACTTTACGTTTTGTGTCGTTTCTACGTTTTACGTTTCTACCACCCTTTCTGTTTCTACGTAGAAACTCGAGTTTGACAACATTGACCGCGACCAAGCAGTGCGACCAGTGACCGATTCTGTTCGAATTTAACCGAACGCACGGGTTTGGTTCAAAACGAAACCAAAAGGTAAGAACCGGTTCTGTTCAAAAATGGCGGGAAACAACGATTGAGTTTGAATAAATTGGAGGGAAGCAACAGATAAGGACAGAGGTATTTTTGGACAAAATAATAATAATTTTTTTTTTATTTCACACATGATCCGATCCGAGCCGAGTCGAGCGGACGGTGGCGCACGTGTGTGGTGAACCAAAGGCCATCTAGCTCCTCTCCCCTCCACAAAATGTGTAGTGCCTTAAGGGGTAATTTAGTAGTGTGAGGTGAGAGCTTATATATCTTCTCTCCTCTTACTAATTGTCCAATGTGGGACTTCTTAGAACCCACACCCATTACGTAAGGCCTGACCGCTTCAAGAATCAATGATTATCCTCATATACAACACGAGACTTTTCAGCGTACTTTGTACTTACTCGCACACTTTCGGAGAAAACTTCCCAGGAGGTCACCCACTCATAATTACTGCAAGTCAAGCACGCTTAACTGTGGAGTTCTTCCGTTATAGGCTACCAAAAAATAGATGCATCTTGTTAGTATAGGTAGTACCAATTAATTCTTATAAGCTATCGTCAACTATATCAGCACAGTCTCTGAATTTCCTCTTTTTCAGGTGTTGATTTGATTCATTCATGTACCCCGTCGCTGGAAGCTTGCCAGGAGCCGCTCTTTGTTTGTGCCTTTGCTCACCATGTCCTTGCACACCGACGATCACTCTCCACCCTCGTCAGCGCCTGAGATGTTACATGCCCACCTGGTTCGTTCTCGAATCACACCATACTAGAAGAGAGGCCCGTTCAACCAGATATATTGTTCACATATTAAAAAAATATAAATATATTACTTATAGTAATATGAAGAAAGTGAACAGTAATAAATGCTATAAGGGAAAGAAGAATGTTATTTCTGTATACAACAAAAAGTGACATCATTATATCTTTTATCTTAAGAGTTTGTATAATTTATAATTTTTCAATTAAATCCTCGTAAAAGTAACTGAAATGCATAAAAATAAAAGAATAATATTAACTAAATATATAAAAATAAAAGAATAATATTAATTAAATTATATAAAATTGATGCATTCCTTCGTCAAACTCCTCATGAAATTTGTAAATTAATTTTTAGAGAGATGGGATAGAGAAAACCATCCCTTCCATTTAAGGAGATGCCGAGAAGGCACAAGACCTGTCTGCCTTGCAGGCTGGGCAACACCAAAACCACCCATTTAATTTAGGGTTTAATGTTTTTTTCTTCAAGGTTACTGCTTGAACCTTCAGTTGTATTTATCCCCGCATTTCTCACACTCTATCATCTAAATTCATTTGCTGCTTCACATCAGAGATTTCGTGCACTCAACTCTCTTCTTGCAATACCAATCAATCACCATGGCGTCACTAACAGCTGTTTCTCAAATCCAATCCCTTTATAGCAAGACCCATGTCTCATCACCTCATCAATTTCGTCCAATTTTCTTGCCCACGAGATTATCAGTGAAGTTTCAGGTTCATCGTGGCGTTTTTGAGATGCCTATGAAAGCGGTTATCGTGTCCGAAACAACGGCCGAGAAACCCAAGAAGCTTTACCCTGATGAGTCCAAGGGGTTCGTGGAGGAGATGAGGTTCGTAGCCATGAAGTTGCATACGAAGGACCAGGCCAAGGAGGGTGAGAAAGAGGTCACGGAACCCGAGGAGAGAGCTGTGACCAAGTGGGACCCAACGATTGATGGGTACTTAAGGTTCCTCGTCGACAGCAAGTTGGTTTATGATACACTTGAGAAGATCATTGAAGAGGCTGCTTATCCTTCATGTGAGTTTTTGCTGTGACTCTGTTATTTCTCTCACTATTCTTAGATATTTTAACGTAGTATTCATGTTGGCTGATGTTTGAGCTTTGCGACGGTTCTATTTCGTATTCGATTGTTATGTATACTGCTGCAAATATTTCGCGTGGTAAGGTAGTAATTATGAGGTTGTTATAGTAGCTCAATGTATAAGTTAGAAGCGTTCTGTGTGATGTGATTTGTACTTTTTTTGAAAAATGATTCTCTAATCTTGTTAAATAGCCCCAAGCCAATTGCAAATTGAGTAATTTTTTGAAATAATGGAATTGATATAGTTGCATAACTGTATCAAGAACTAACGGTTGGTTGTATTGAGATGTAATTGCTGAATATTGACGTAGATAGTTTCCTTTGATTTAAATTTCTGGACTATCTCTGCCTTGTTTTTCTCGGGTGTAGTGCTTGCAATATGATGTTGTCGCTGTTTCGATTCGGCAATTACTGTAACTATATTTGGAGTTTCTCTTGAATTGGTAGTTGTTTTAATGCATTATGGGGGCTCAATTTGATATTCTTGGCACATAACCCAAGAAAATTTGCTCAGACTTTATCCTCACTTGTTCAAAATGGATTCATCTATACAAAAAAAAATTAAAAAATTCATGAAGCAAAAGTGGAACCACCAAAACCCAATTTGCTTTTGTAATAAGTGAAAGAGATTACTGAGAGAAAACTTCACTTACCTCCCCTGAAAATCAACATTTTAGTTGATCTTCAGGGTTATATTTCTAAATTAAATATAGAGAAGGCAAGCATGATTTCTTAATCTAATGAGGCTATTTGTGTAAACTTGATAAGTGTAAGATATAATTTTATTATTATTGTGCATGCCCTGAGTAATCTGAAATGCTTAGCAGTTGCATGACTAAATTAGAATTTTTCAAAATGTGCCTCTACATCTTTATTTTCTTACTTTGTTATTCTGTGAAGCACATTACAATCAAAAGTGAGGAGGTAGAAGGAAAAAAAATGCAGAAAATATTGGTATCTGAGTAATTATTTGTTTTTATATATGGGTATCTACCAACTTAGGATCATGGAATTCTGAGTGACTAAGAATGATGAGCTTTGGAGGAAGATTATCAATAGTCAATAGTCAAGGTTCATGTTTCCTTGAGTAGGTTATTTACTTTGAGTATGAATAACGAAGCATAAGGTTAAATTTGCATCATATTTTCTAATTAAGGGAATTGTTGATGAATGAAGGTATTGTTTCCATGTAAGTGGGGAACCACACTCCTTTCGGATGGTTAGACATTTTAGTGTTAATGCTTGTGTATGGTCAATGCCGATTATATTAGAAGTGGATGAATGCATGCTCATATGTGTATGATTTGGCTATGAAACTCAATACCTTAAATTTTGACGACAAAATTTTTAAAAGGTAGGGAGATTTATAACACCCCAATAATTTCAATTTAAATCTATAAGTTAAATTAAATTCAGAAATTATTGTTTTGGTTGAAGAGTTTATGTTCGGTTCCAAAGACAAGAGGTTAAAATTATAAATTTGAATCTGCAAGGGCTGAACTGTAATTCCCAAGCAATAGAGGTGAATATGATTGGGTGTGCAGGGAGAAAAATAGAGGTTTATATAAACAAATTCCTAGTCATCCGATTATGATCGTGTGTGTGCATATGGGGGATTTCACACTCCCTAATCTAGGATGGATTCCATGCAATTAATGAGAGGACAACCACTCCCTGTCAAGTCTGATATCACGAAAGAAAGCACTTTGCATGTAAAACTTCACCCATTCTCTAACACCCTAAGCTATTCTCGGTATCAGCCATAGAGACCACACTGTTCTCTTAATTTCCCTCATCCTTGAGCCATAGACACCAATTCATTTAATTCCTGTACTGCATGGATCAGGGGTTGTGAGGAAGACACAATTTAATATGTGAACGTCTGGGATTAAAGAGCATCAAGTAGGGAATGCATGAAGGTTTAACCCATGGGAAGAAGAAGTGAATGCTGATACGAAGGGGTAGACAAAAGTGCAACCTTTAAATTTTAAGATCCTTAGTTATTATTAGTGAAAGGGGATTCAAGTGAAAATTTGTCAAGGAGAAGAGGCTAAAGCATCGTATAGAGAAAGGACAAGTGGTAAACCCCTAGTTCTTGGCCCTATTTTCCTCTTTATTTTCAGTTGCGCAAGGTTAATGTTAGGACCTTGAAGTTTCTGTTTTGTGCTTGAATTATTGGATGAAAATTTAATGCTTACTGTTTAGCATGCTTTAAGGCTACATGATTATGAGAAAATTTAGAGTATTATGTTTCTTGAAAATGAATGATTATGTTGTTAGTGTAAAGACTGTTAAACGTGATTGCTATAATTACCTTAAAGCTGAAATTGCATTTTTCTGAGTTATGATGCAAGAGCATGAAGTTACAGTCTTGAGTTAGTGAATTCATAAACTAGGCAATGGCTGTTTTGAAAGAAGAATGAAAGACAAGATAAGAAGTTTAGCACTTGAGAATTAAGTGCCTCTCTTGAAGAGCATAGTGTTTCAAAGAAAGAATGAAAGACAAGATTTGAAGTTTAGCACTTGAGAATCAAGTGCTGCTCTTGAAGAGCATAGTGTTTCAAAGAAAGAATGAAAGACAAGATGAGAAGTTGAGCAGTTGAGAATTAAGTGCTGCTCTTGAGGAGCATAGTATGAATCCCTGGCCAGGTTGAAGATTAAGCTTAGACACCTCTTAGGAGACGTCCTACTTGAGCAAAGGCTCATGGTGGTGTATATAGACAAGCCTCTCTTGAAGAGCATAGTGTTTCAAAGAAAGAATGAAAGACAAGATTTGAAGTTTAGCACTTGAGAATCAAGTGCTGCTCTTGAAGAGCATAGTGTTTCAAAGAAAGAATGAAAGACAAGATGAGAAGTTGAGCAGTTGAGAATTAAGTGCTGCTCTTGAAGAGCATAGTATGAATCCCTGGCCAGGTTGAAGATTAAGCTTAGACACCTCTTAGGAGACGTCCTACTTGAGCAAAGGCTCATGGTGGTGTATATAGACAAGTTATGATGATGGATGTACCATGATTTAGCTTTTCAATTGTGTTTGTGCTAATGCACTAACTGATTGTTCTGTTATGTACCCTTCACATTGGAAATTCTGTTTTAAAATGAGTTTTATGCAGGTGCATTGAAAGTAAGAAGGAAAAATGACTTAGGAACTAGCGGTTTATTGAGTTTTTACTCTGGGGCTGCTATTGCAGGGAGTCCAGAGAATAAGGGAATGGCCATAGTGCAAGTAAATGAAAAGGAGTGATGGCCGGAAGTTCTGGTTTAATTCAGATGTGTTTGTGAAGTCGATAGGGCTGCTATGTTATGAAAGTCTTTTATGATGTGGCTGTTGTAGTAGTAGTTTGTATGTATTTTGAACACTTGTGTGTGTTTTCATTATGTGAACCATAGACAGCCACGTAAATGCAATGAAAGTATAGCTTTAATTTTGTGAACTTGGTATTTATGCTAATCAGTGCATGAAAGATATATGCTGCCTTAATTGGAGATTGCCAAAATATGATGTCCTCTTTAAAAACGAATGAAGATGGAATTATGTTGCTTTAACTATTTTGGTTACAATGCTGCTAATGATATGTGTATGAAGTGGAGGTGCATCTTTTGTTTTCCCAATGTGTAATGTTTGCTTCTATCCATGTATTTTGAAAGATATTGTTGAGATTTATAAACTCCACATTAGTTGCACATACAACCAATGTGGGACTATATATAGTCCCACATTGGTTGTATGTGCAACTAATGTGGAGTTTATAAGGTCTTGGGCACTCCCACCCTTTGAGCTAGCTTTTGGGGTGGTGTATCCCAAGGTTCTTTACAGATATCTTGTAAGGTTGATGTTCAGATTTTTATAGTGTATGAGTTGTGCTTGGTACATGGCAGAATTAACGTTGACTACATGAGCTACTTAAAGTAATTATTTGAGAGAACACATGTATAATTTATTACTTGTTTCATGAAAGGCATGAGATAGAGACATAAATGGTGAAATTGCAGATTTTGAAGAATGAAAGAAAGGGTTAATTGTACCTAACTACTTAGAAGTCATATATAAGTGAGAGACGGGAGTTTTCGACAGGAACAATCCCTGCATTACAATATCTAGATACTTCTGTTGCTGTATTCGGATACTTTTCGAAGTATATTTGGATACCGAAATTCCTGTATCAGGATATTTTCCTGTTGGTGACAAAAAAATTCAGTAGATGCATAAACCGTGTAATTCTGAGGGAGTAATGGATATGCTTGTTAGTTAAGGGGCTAGGTTCGCTAATTGAAGGGCCAACTCTTAAATAGTGAAGGGTGCCAGTTCTTAAGGAATGTTTCAAGAATTGGGAATTATAGAAGATGAGGAAAATCTAGATCAAATAATTCCAAGAGAACTTACCTTGTACCCATTAAACTGGTCTGACCTTGAGGGATTATGAATGAATAATAATTAAAAGGAATCCCAAAGTCTTCAAACAGCCTAACCACCAATTTCACTAGATGTTAGTGGTGCACCTATATATATATATATATATATATATATATATATATATATATATATATATATCATTTCTGTCAAGGCTAGGCTATGAAATCAACAAGGATTGAAACTTTATTTTGAAGACAAAAGCTGAAAGCTAGATTCCTTGTGAGTTATGCTTTACGTCATACCAATGCATTTATACACATAACACATGTATGTATGCTTTCCTTTGTAGTCACTATGATTAATGGCAATATATGTTGTTTGGCTACCTTGCTATTATTTGTACATCAAACTTGGAAATCAAATAAAGGAAGTTGTATTTGCAATGGTATTTAATAAAGAACCTATTAAATAAATAAAAAATTTAACTGCTGCACCTGAAATCATAAGGATAATGGTTCGGGTGCACACGGGGCATTACATAGTGTCCAGCCTTCCTACTGTGCAAGGTAGAGTTGTAATTTAGTGGGAAAATAACTGCAAAAGCATTCAATATAATTTATAATCATATATCTTTAAGCTTCTTCATATTCTGGAACTTGTTCTTAATTGTCTTGTTCACTCAGCTTTCCATTTCAAGGGTTTCTTGCTGTTATCCGTTTTAGTTGTTGTGTTCTATATTTCTTTAGCATATCCATAACTAATAAGTTGGTGTTCCCTGGTGTATGGATGTTCCCAACTAATCTGATTGTTAAATGCCTATGATTTCATCTTTCTTTCATAGATGCTGAATTCAGAAATACTGGATTGGAAAGGTCTGCTAGTTTGGCAAAAGATTTGGAGTGGTTCAAGGAGCAAGGTCATACCATTCCTGAACCTTCCTCTCCTGGTCTTACCTATGCACAATATCTTACGGAATTATCTCATAAGGATCCCCAAGCCTTCATTTGCCACTTTTACAACATCTACTTTGCTCACACTGCTGGTGGTCGAATGATTGGGAAAAAGGTAATCAATTGCATTCATGCTAAAAGAAGTTAAATTATGTTGTGTTTCACATTGATTATGCAGCCCACCTTTGGTTTTGAGTGTTGTTATTGGGCTGGAACATCTGTTTTATGATTAATATGGCACAGTCACATCGGGGGATATTTTTCATTTTTCCTCTCCATGTAGCATATTTACTACTATATATTTCCTTGGAGATGTAAAAAAAATAGTGAAGTTTTTGACGAAGTGGGAATATCTCGAATTTCTTTTAAATGGAACGGTCCGCAAAGTTTTACAAGGCTTGTAGGTATATGATGGGCTAGGACTAGTGGGCCCAAGTTCAGCAATGCAAAATTAGTTAGTGAATTAGCTAGTTTGTTAGGAAAACTATTCTAGAATATTCTGGTAAGTAGGATAAAAGGTGAGTGAGTGTGTGTAGTGAGGGATGCATGTATTCAGAATATTTGGAGTGGGACTTTTGGAAAGGATCTCTTGGGATCTCTTTGGCCTAGGTATTTGGCTTTAGAGTGAGTGAGGTCTTTTAGTGTTTATTTTCTGTATTTCCTTTATATTTTCTGCAATTTCAGATTTATAAAAAAAGGGTTCCATCAATTTGGTATCAGAGCATTTCCGATCTAGGGAGTGCTTTTGGTCCAGATCTGAAAAAAAAAAAAAGAACAAAAAAAAAATGGAGAACAAAACCGACAGATATCTTGAAGCATTGGAGAAGGCCAACACGAAGGATGTCATGGAATTGATGCGGAAGATGATAAGGATCATGGATGCTTGGGAAGAAAAGCAAGAAGCTTGAATGAAAGAGGAAGCAAAACACGAACAGAAAATTGAAAAAGAAGAAATTAAAGAAGAAGAAGAAGAAAGGGAGAAGGAGAATGTAGCAGGACCAGAGAACAGAGAAGTGGTTTGGGTCAGCATTTAAGAGCTGCAATCATGACCCGGTCCAACAACTTAACTGGTGAAACAAATGGGTGAGGGGCTGAGTCTGGTAATGGGCCTCACAATAGAGGGCCCAATCTAATTAACCCCATCAGAACCAATGGGATGCAAACACAGCCCAACAAAGGCAATGTCAACTTAGGGTACGATGCAAAAAAGAGAGGCAAGACTGGTAACAACGGCGGAGGAAATAATGGCGGAGGTGGAAATGGTGACCGGAAGACAATGCAATTCCGGCGAAGGTCTCCTGAAGAAATGACAGAACGATGGCGGCACAACCCAATGGGCAACACGCAGGGCAGCAGCACGCAAGACTCCAATGATGCAACAGAGGCGATGTACGGTGGCGAGTGGTGGGGGATGCGATTATGGTCGCCAAACGAGGTGGTAGAAAGGAGGGGGTATGTTAGATATCTTTCATTCTCTTCCCAGAAGCCAAATTTGGCTTTGCTTATGAACTTGGCGAGTTTCAGTGCTATGATGAGTATATGTTTGCGTCTCTAAATGTGTTGGCAAGAAAGATTGGAAAGCGAGAATGGGGAGATGGTGGTCCTTTGGGTACCGGAATTTTGACGCAACAAGCTGAGCATCCTGATTTTTTTAGAAATGAGGGTTCTCGAAACACACCATATGGTAAATTTTTCCTTGAATGGTACTTAGGTATATCAGCATGCTCATTACCAATTCAGGTGGCTGCACCTATTTCTTTCAACCATGTCACATGGAGCCTTGATGGATGTTTGGTGGGTATTGTATTTACTAAACAATCTATTCTCTTATATACCTACACTGGATCAAATGAGCTGGCCCATCGTATAGAGGCAGATGTTCATATTGGCGGCGTGAATAACATAGCATTTTCTCATCCAAATAAACAACTCTGCATTTTGGCTTGTGCAAATGATAAGTTAGCTGAGGGTGACAGAGTGCCAAATCCTTTTCTGCTGACATTGGGATTAAGAGGTTTCAAACAATGGGATCCCGGTGGAAAATCCTCTCACATTATCTGCCTTTTCTACTGACCTTGAGGACAAGGTGAATTTTGAAAGGGGAGTATTGATGGGCTAGGACTAGTGGGCCCAAGTTCAGCAATGCAATGCAAAATTAGTTAGTGAATTAGCTAGTTTGTTAGGAAAACTATTCTAGAATATTCTGGTAAGTAGGATAAAAGGTGAGTGAGTGTGTGTAGTGAGGGATGCATGTATTCAGAATATTTGGAGTGGGACTTTTGGAAAAGATCTCTTGGGATCTCTTTGGCCTAGGTATTTGGCTTTAGAGTGAGTGAGGTCTTTTAGTGTGTATTTTCTGTATTTCCTTTATATTTTCTGCAATGTGCGTGGGGGCACGCATTAGGGAAGCGTGGTGGAATGTTGGGGTTCTATTTGCAAGGTATGGGACTTGGAGTCCCACATTGATTGTATGGGTAACTAATGTGGGGTTTATAAGGCCTTGGGCACTCCCACCCTTTGAGCTAGCTTTTGGGATGGTGCATCTCAAGGTCTCATCAGTATATATAAGCTGGTATGTCAGATCTTGACAATTCCCACAATAGTTGTATCTATATACAGATATTTGCAGTGTTGAGTCACATATGTTCTATGTGCATTATTTTCTCTTAGCATCAAATACTTTGTTGTGTGTAACTACTATTATGCTGATGGTAATTAATCAATATTACTATTTGTATACATACATGTTTGGATTCGCATATTTTGCACTTAGAAAAAAAAGTTTTCAGCCTAAAGCCCTTTCTGAAGCATTTTTATTATAAGCTTTTTAAAAATTAAAATAAGCAAGATATCTGCATTTGTTAACGAGAGAGAATTGTTATCAAGCATTCTGCATTTGATTGGCATCCTACAACTCTTGGGGGTTTCACTATGTTGTAGTTTTTTTTTCAGCCATTTTCACCTGATGAGGTAAAAATCAATAATGAATGTTACTTTATCCTTTCTATACTCAAGATCTTCCAGCATCTTAACCTTAACTTTTACAGGTTGCTGAAAAGCTACTTAACAGCAAGGGGCTGGAGTTCTATAAATGGGATGGTGACCTTTCCCAGTTGTTGCAGAATGTGAGGGACAAGTTGAATAAAGTTGCTGAAGTAAGTTTCTTGAACTCTCTTTAACTCTTTGCGTACGGTTCCTTGCAATCATTAAAGGAATAATCAATAGGTTGATTTCTATTGCGGCTTTATTTCTGGGTAGCAAAGGATAAAATGGTTGCATTCAAATTTTCTGAGTTGGGGTAATGAATATGCCTTTTGGAATTCCCTTGTTGTTTATATCAGGAATGGACTCGGGAAGAGAAGAACCACTTTCTGGAAGAAACAGAGAAATCATTCAAGTTCTCGGGAGAGATTCTTCGTCTAATTCTAGCGTGATAATAGGTGCTCTGCTATGTATAGAGTATGTGTATTGAAGTGCATGGCGTTAGCCAAGAACATTATGTCATATGTGTATTATTTAGTTTTCAATTCGCTAATGAATAGTAGTGCTGGGAGAACATTTTATGGGTAATACTGTGCCAAAAAACGTTGTTATGATATTAACGTCAACGTTTATTGGAACTTGATTGTTATTCTCGAAGGTTCCTGCTTCATATTGTACATGTGGATTGACCTGTTACTACTCGTGTTGTAAAGATATTTTTAGAAGATAATTGGATCTGTTATTGAAATAAATAATTTTATATTCTTATAATGAATTCTTAATTACTTTAAATAATTAATTCGGTGTTCTTATTGTGTAACAAGCTAACAAATTGCTATAGTATAATTAAAAAAAGGGTTTAGTGTAATAGGAGATAGTAAAGATGATCGGCATTTTGGAAATTTCATGTTACATATAGGAAAAACACTTTTTCCATAAAAAAAATTACTTTAATATCAAATTAGAGTTTATATTTAGTTATTACGTTCTTTTTTTTCCATTTTAATTTAATTTAATCATTGTAATATTTTGTATTTAATCTAATAAGAGATGCATTGTTAAGTTTAGCCATGAAACAAGAATCCACCCCATGTGTGAAGCCAGACATCATAGGCGTGTAACAAATGGTACAAGATCTAAACATTAAAAACCAGAAAAGAGGATTCAAAGATTATTGATAGATAATAAAAAAAACGCTCCAATACAGACTCACGGTTTTTGCTATCATATTTGCTCCTCCCAGACCCTGACTCCCATTCCTCCTTAAGCAAACTTCAACATAATACAACAGCTTTTCAACTTCTATAAATGCTTGTGATATTCAACAGGATTTCTACAGATTACCCATTTTCATTTGCATCCTAAATGGTCTAGAATTAGATTCCCAGGAAGGGAACTTTCTGTGCCTAGCAACTTATCTGGACAATGATGGACAGGCACCATATTTAAGGTGAAAGAAGTTTATCTTGTTACATATATACGAAAGGAAATAATTATCTCATGTTACATGAGATAATTATCTCATGCAACAGAGACAAAATAATGGGGTTCATTATTTTTTATTTTTTTTCTCTTTTTGAAAAAGTAGTGCTCATGCAACATGAGATTAATAGATCCCATATACAAATAAAAAAGAATTACTGACAGGGTGGATCTGGGTTGAAGTTCACTGATTCCATCCAGATGAGCTCTTTGATGTGCTCTGCACTGAATGTTGGCTGCTCAAAATCAAAACTGAAAGGCCTGGGACCAACTGGCTCATCATTGATGTCGTGAAGTGAAGAAAGATATGGGTGACATAATGCCTCATCAACTGCATATAAATGAAAATACTACATAAATATGGGACAAAAAAAGAAAGAGGACTTACATTAAAAAAGAGAACTTGCTAACCTGTTATGCGTTTGTTGGGATCAAAGATAAGCATCTTTTCTAGTAGATCCAAAGCCTCAGGCGACATATCAGGGAATCTAGCCGAGAATTTTTGCTTCCTGCATTGTGGAAGCTGTCTAACATATCTTCTGGCATTTTCACTTCGGAGAAATCCAAGGCTTGCATCGTCAGGTGAACCTATTAACTTTTAAGCAAAAGGAGAACAGAAAGCATCTGTGGTGTTACAACTAGTAGTGATCAATTTACAGGGAACTATAGAATCAGCTTACATGCATTCCTTCAATTTTTTAACAATAACAGCATTCAAGATGGAAGTATAATAAGATGGATTATAATATGACTTTTATTATTCCCTGGTGTAAGGGGAACAAGGGTTGGTAGAGATACCGAAACTGGAACCATGCAAAATGATATAAAAAGGGCAAACTCCAGTCACAAAACTCCCCAATTTGCGAGGATAGAGATGAGGGTCGATTGTAGATATATTAATGCTAAAGATAATGGCTTATCATATTCTAGACAGCGATTGACTTCCATTTATCAACAACAGTAAATTAGCAATAGCTGGATCTGAAAGATAAACAAGAAACAGGAAGAATTGGAAGTTTGAACAGCTTTCTTTTGCACTTTAGTTTAGTGAAGGGTGTCGGTTCTGGACAAATTTAAGTCATTCTAGGCATTCAGATTGTGAAAACTTCACACAGAACCCAATTCCTATAGTTAATTTAAGTCATTCTAAGCAGTGACGAAAGCAGGGATAAGCAAACAACGGGAGTAACAAAATGTGAAAAACAATGGCTTTTTGCTTCCAATAGCTTCAGCTGGGGTATCAACTATTAAGCATGTTGGGAAGGTCAAAGGGAGTTATTTTTCTCTCATAATAAAAATTCCTTCTGTTAGTTACAGGGTTTGGGTTTGTAACTCGCAAGTGTAAATCACTTTCATAAGCAGGATGAGGATTTTACAGATCAACCAACTAACGCAAGAGATAAGTAATGTAATACAATATTTAGAATGCCACAGCAGCCCGCAAGTTTAAATGGAAGCATCAAACCCATACCTCTGTTATAAGCCTTAGCTGATGAACATAATCTTTCCCAGGAAACAAGGGTTTTCTGGTCTTAATTTCACCAAGTATGCAACCAACAGACCAAACATCAATTGCAGAGGTGTACTCTGAACAATTAAGGAGCAATTCTGGGGCTCGGTACCATCGGGTGACAACGTACTCTGTCATGAAATCTGTTTCAGATGTTGTCCTTGCCAAACCAAAGTCCCCAATTTTGAGGTCACAGTTTGAATTCAGAAGTAAATTACTGGGCTTAAGATCACGGTGCAAGACATTAGCTGAATGCACATATTTCAGCCCACGTAACAGCTGGTATAAAAAGTACTGCAGAAGTTTCATGAAATATCAATACCATGCTTAATTTCAAATGAAAAAAAGAAGTCAAAACTTAATACCTATTGATGTGAGAATGAGACAGCTCCTTCTTTTGTTATAATAATAAAAATAGATTTCATATTCAAGATGATCTATTTAACCTTTCTGTGAGTCTGTGTTGTGCAAATTTCAATACTTCATTAGAATGGGAATATTATGTCCAAAGATAAGACTTGATAAGTTACAGTAGTTCTTTGACTAGGATGGTTAATGCAGGCAAATCTGTGTCACACTCAAATGGGAGTATAGAGAAAGCATTTCATTACTTCACAATATCTTAGCAATACTGTCAATGTTCATTGATTTTCTGTATAAACGCAAAAGTGAAAACTGAAAACCCACGTATAGTATACACTGTCCAGATATTATGACTTTTTTCCAACATACAGGAAGTGTTGTATCTCCATTGTTACTAAGCAGTGTTTGATATTGGTAGCAAATATTGAAAAGGACAGACTTGCCCCTGAAAAGACAAAAAAAATGACATGGCAATTAAGTTCAAAAAATATGATTAGAACCGAACCTGACAATGGTCATCGTTAAGAGATTGATTAGAACGAATTATATGATGAAGATCAGTGTCCATCAATTCATAAACAATGTATACATCATTGAAAGTATCCTTTTTGGGAGGCCGTATGATATCCTTAATGGCAATGATCTGAGAAAGAAGATAGCAAATTAATTCAAGAAATGCATCAGAATTACAAGGACTAAAAATAGGAAGAGATTTTTTAATTTGAAAAAAACAGAAGGTTACATTTTCATGATCCATGTGGCGAAGGAGCTTAATTTCCCTCAAAGTCCTTTTAGCATCAATTATATTATCAAATGCGTTACCAATCTTCTTGATGGCAACTTCCTCATGTGTATCTGAATTAACAGCAGAACTGAAAAACAAAGTGCCAGATTTATTAGATTTTACATGACAAAATAAAAACAGTGATTGATTGTGTTGTTATTGAAGCAAAGCAAAACAAAGAAAGAAAGAAGAAAAGAAAATTACCAGACGAAGCCATAAGCGCCTCTACCGATAGGGCGAATGGGAGGGAGGTACTTGGAGGAGACCTCGAACAAGGTACCGTACACATTGTACTGCACGTATCCACCTCCGTGAGTCAAAACCCTCTTCATTGACTCTTCCTCTTTGATATCCATCTTCAATCGAATGGGGAAGGAAACCAAAGCACTCTTCCGAAACTGCAATGCCAAACCTCACACTCTTCTTTTATTCTGAAACTGCAATGCCAAACTTCACTCTCTTCTTTTCAACTCAATGTTTGGAGAAGAAGACGCTTTCATTTTCCAATACAAAGGCATGGTCTATTGTCCGATTAAATTTCTTTTCTTATAATATTACTGTTAACGTACAAGGATTAATTTGAGTATTAAAAAAATTTAGTAAGAATTTTTTTAAGCTATCTTATTCAGTATGAAAATTAAAATGTTCATATAAATAACTAGTTGCAGAGATAAAGTCAAATAAGCTACTTTGGATATATATATATATTTAAGATATATTAACATAAGTTTAAGAAGTTTATTTTAATTTATAATAAAAGTATTAAAAATGCTTTTTCAAATTATCTATTTATCTTTAAAAAGTTTACATATTTTTTTAATTAAATTTTTTTTTCTTAAAACATACCAGTAATTAATGTATGAAATTATCTAATGTCTAAGTTTGATTCGTGTTGCTTCTTTAGGTAAACGAAATGATAATAATGACAGCTATTTAAATGTTATTCATAGTTTCAGACATATTGAAATCTTCCTCTAATTCTTATCCAAGTTTCTTTATATAAATGTGTTAACCGCCTTTAGGATTTTAATTCGTCTACACAACACTAAAATAACTATCTTCTGGTGAAAATTTTATTGAGAATTTGGATTTTCAACGGATTTCTAATGTAAGAACTGGTCCTCTAAGGATATCTAATTTTATTCTATATTTGACCAAATCTAAAATGCTTTAATTTAATTATATTTTTGGTTTGGTAGACTGAATTTACAACTATATTGAAAGCCACCTAATTAGTATAAAATACCGAGTATACTTATTCATAAAACGAAAAAATAAAAAAATAAAAATAAAAATAAAAATTGTCCGGAGCTAATTTTGACCCCCCAAAAAGTTATAGAATAAGTCTAACTTAGTGAAAATTTAAATAACAAGCTGACAGTGGCGTTTTCGAGAGCATGAGCATACTAGGAGCACCGTTTTAAAGTTTTTGGACAAAAGAATTGTCCAGTTAAAGCTGATTGGATAAGTTTTTCTAAAGTAATGCAGTCAAACATGTCACCTATGCTGACGGGACTAGTCCCGTCACTGATACTGACGGGACTCGTGCCACGTCAGCGCCACGTAGGCAATCCAATTATCGTAAAACTTCGGAAGGCCATAACTTGTGACTCGGGTATCCAAATCAGATGATTTTTTTTTATTTCACATAACTTTTCAAGATCTACGCAATGACACCTCATTTGATATATTTTATCTCCCACAAACATAGTCTTATGGATAAACACTCTTGTGATTGTGATACAATTGTTACAAATTCAAACTATGTTTGTGGGAGATAAAATATGTCAAATGAGGTATCATTGCGTAGATCTCGAAAAGTTATGTGAAATCAAAAAAAAAAAAATCATCTGATTTGGATACCCGAGTCACAAGTTATGGTCTTCCGAAGATTTACGGTAATTGGACTGCCTACGTGGCGCTGACGTGGCACGAGTCCCGTCAGTATCAGTGACGGGACTAGTCTCGTCAGCATAGGTGACATATTTGTCTGCATTACTTTGAAAAAACTTATCCAATCAATTTTAACCGGACAATTCTTTTGTCCAAAAACTTTAAAATGGTGCTTTAGCCGAGCATACTACTTGCCAGTTGTTCATTTGCCTGTAAAGCGTAAACTGTAACGTGATCTCCAAAAACATTGTTATAATCAGATGCTTTTAGGATTTATCACAGATGTTTGCTCATTTCTTGCATGCCTGGATTGTTAATCCTCTAGAACCTGGACTCCTTTTATCTTTTAGGTTGGTTTCACCACAAAACCACGTTCAATTCTAGGTTCATGAATTGCGTACAATGGCTTTCATATTAAACATGCTAGAGCTGGTGATAATTTTCCACGTATTATAATTAATTTTCCACGTATCTTTTTAAGTCAGCATCTGCTTACTTCTTCGAGCTAGGTCTGCGTTTCTATTAGGGTGGACGACCAAGTCACTTGGTGCTTAGCCAACGTAATAGACTAAAACCAATTTGCAACTTGTGTTGGTTGGAACTTGGAAGGTGCAAAATATTGTGGGTAAAGCCCACTTGGTCACTAGGAAGCAGCGTGTTTCGCTTAGCTATGCTTGTTTCATAGTTTTATAAACTGCAGTCAATCTTTCTGCGTGTACCAAGGATGGATCCCTGTGGCTGTGCCTGTGACTATGTTCAATCTGTGGAATTTCAGTCCAGCAAATTTTACGAGTCCTTTGGGAATAGGGGTGAAACTGGGCCGGGCCGGCCTACAGAGGCCTACGGCTCGGTCTACATCAGGCTAGACCTGACTTAGTATATTTTGTATAATAGGCCGGGCTCGGGCCTTAAAAAAGCCTGTTTAATAAAAAGGCCGCAGGCCCACTTTCAAAAGGCCGAGCCTATAAGCCTACAGGCCGGCCTATATTGTACTATTTATTTTAAATAAAATAAAATATAGTAAGTATGCCTTGAAGAAAAAAAATATATAAATTTAATCAATTGCAATTATTTATAACTTAATTATATTCGATTATATTTTAATAGAAATCTTACTTTATTTCTTATATAGGAGGAACCAACATCTCAACATGTTAGATTGTGTATATGAATATATTAAAAGATTTTTGGGAGAGGTTATTCTTACTACAAGCATCATGATGTGTTTGTTGGATTCATGTAGTTATTTTAATTTACATAGTATGGATTCGTTTGTTGGATCTGATGAAATATATGTTATTTAGTTTGAGCATTTTGCTTTTGAAAATGACTTAAATGCATATTGTATGAGTTCTGTTATGATTCATGATTATGTTTGGATGTTGAAATTATGATTTTTGGTGTAGCAACAGAATTTGAGTACTTTGTAAAGTTGATTCATAGTTCTGCTTGGAGGTTAAAAATTAACAGGCTAACGGGTCAAGCCAGGTCATTTGTTTTTTTATAAACGGGTCAAACCAGGCTAACAGTTAGACTCATACTAGGCTTAGGTCAGGCCAAATTGAAAATTTTTGATGTAGGCTTGGGCTTTTCGGGGCAAAGCTTGGTCCAGCCCAGCCCACTTTCACCCCTAATTGGGAAGGTATCGACCAAACAGTAACCAATTATTTGAATTATTATTATTAACAAATAAATGAAGAATGAGAATGTACATCAAAGCCTGAAAAGTAAAGAATCCAATGACTATGGGTTGACATAAAATCAAAAATTATAAACAGATTATTTAATGGGAAAAAAGTTTCCGCAGTTAATGCAGATAAGTTATCTGCATTTATTATCAAAACGACGTCGTTTTGGTTTTGAAATCTTAAAAAATTATAAATGTAAAGATTATTATAACCCTGAAATAAATTAAAATTACAAAAACACCATGATTTCCGTCCCAAAACGACATCGTATTGGACTTACTGCGGCTTTTTGACCATCGTAGCCCTTATCTAATAATTAATTACCAAATTGACCTTAATTATAAACTATTTCAAAAATTTAACCTCTCCAGAAAACATAACATCAATCTGTCCTTGTTTGACCGCTGACCACCAAGCTTACCCGGGTATATTTTGAAATTTTTCATCTACCCGGATAAGGAGAGGGTTACTCGGGTATATTTCTTGAATCTGAAAAAATGTTTGAATTATTTACCCGGATAGGAAAGGGGATACCCAGGTAAATAATTCAAACATTGAAGAACAAACAGAGATGGTGCCATTACACTAGAATTTTTTGGGAACGAACGGGGGACTCAAGCAAAAGACGAACAGTCTCCAAGAAATAATACAACTACCAGTTCCTAGGTAGTTGTTGCATCACAAGAAAGGATTATCTCAATTCCCCATACGATTATTTCTTGATCGTGTTATTATTTCTGCATTGACTTATTTAACATTCATGGAGTATGATGCTTGGTTCCTCTATCTGTGTGCAGAGTTTGTATAATGAAGGTGCCAGGAAGTTTTGGGTTCACAACACCGGGCCCTTGGGATGTCTTCCTAAAATACTTGCACTGGCTCAAAAGAAGGATCTGGATTCCTAAGAACTGAATTGAAGGATGCTACTTTAGTCTATGTTGATATTTATGCCATTAAGTATGACCTCATCACAAATGTCACCAAATATGGTTTCTCAAATCCATTGATGGTATCTTAAACCGGTAAAAATAATAACTACCTAGGGACTAAATAAGTCAATAAACCAAGCATCATACTCCATGAATGTTAAATAAGTCAATGCAGAAATAATAACACGATCAAGAAATAATTATAGGGAATTGAGATAATCCTTTCTTGTGTTGCAACAACTACCTAGGGACTGGTAGCTGTATTTATTTTTTGGAAACTGTTCGTCTTTTGCTTGAGTCCCCCATCCCTTTCCAAAAAATTCCAGTGTAAAAATCTTCAGTTGACATGACATCATCTCTGCTTGTTCTTCAATCTGGATTATTTACCCAGGTAATCCTCTCCCTATCCGGATAAATAATTCAAGCATTTTTCCAGATTCAAGAAATATACTCGGGTATCCCTTTCCTTACCCGGATAGATAAAAAATTTCAAAATATACCCGAGTAGGGAGAGGCTACCTGAGTAGGCTTGGTGGTCAACGGTCAAACAGAAGCAGATTGGTGTTATATTTTCTGAAGAGGTTAAATTTTTGAAATAATTTATAATCAAGGTCAATTTGGTAATTAATTATTACATAAGGGCTACAATGGTCAAAAACCCGACTTATTGCAGATAACTTATCTGCAATAACTGCAGAAAAAGCAAACCCTTATTTAATAGTCTCATAGGATAAAATGCTACAAAGTACAAATTGAAGGAGTACGTAGACATGCAAATACGTGTATAATTCATCTACGATAGTTTTTGTTATTGTTGATAACTATAGTGGCTCCATCTTTGGTGCTTTTGCTCGACAGGAAACGAGGTTAAAATGATTGTAGTATATACTGAAAGTTTGCGAGTGGTTATGCTGTGTAACATTTTGCGGCAGGTGTAAATGATCAATGCGGTTCGATAGTCGTGCAGAATTTTGCTTTGAGTGGTTCTGTTCGTCATATGTTGTAAATGGTACTACATAGGATTATTTACCATGTAGGAGTTAGGATTCCTGCTTAATGCAGACCTCGGTTTTGCATCAATGCTAGTCGGAACACATTCCAGCTCAAATTATACTTTATTACCCTGTTCTGCGTAGGGAGCTGCTAGTATGTGTTGGTATCATATACGTCCAAAAAAACCTTGTTACTGACCTACATCCGTATAATAAAGCCCGAACTAACAAAAACAAGAAAATAACTTTAGTCCGTAATTCAAAAGCTTGAAAATATTATAACAGGCCATACCAAAAAGAAATAAATTTTTAAATTGGGCTTAAAAACCAGCGACCGAACAAATATCAATCCAACCTGCATCTCAAAATCCAAATCCGAATTTGTTTTGGAAATTCAAGTATTAAACATTCGGATACTACCGATATTTTGAATGTCTGGAACAAGCATCTAAAATAATAATAAAATAATTATGATATGAAAATATACTAACTAATAATGAGTAAATCAACTATGATAATTTTCTTCTTTCTCTTTTATCCCCAATCAGCATTGATTTACCACTCTAAGGTTAAGATCCTATTACATAATATCATTATATTAAATAACACGACACAAATCTCAAAACACTATCAAATAGAAAAAAAAAAAACTAGATTAGTTAATGAAGATAAATAATTTACAAACATTTAAATTACTCACATATCCTAATCATATTTTAAATTATCATTAACAATCGTCCATTTAACATCATTAATCAAACTTTACAAGTTGATCAAATATTTTGAACTGATTTTTTTAAATCAAATCTAAAACAAATTCTTCCCCATTCCTTGCCTACAATTCAAAGGGAAGTTTTAGCAGGCTCGAAGGGAAAATTTCCGTTTAAGAGTAATGTTCTTTTCACCTCCCTTCATACCCTCAATTTCATAGGATATTTTTTACTATATCCAAAACCATCCATTATCCAACATAAACAAGGATTGTCATCCTACTAAGTAAAAACACTCGATTCAAAATCTTCATCACATGAATTACCGGATATTAAAGTAAAATGTCGAACAAACAAATTTTGGGGGAGAGGAACTAGTATTGACTCCAATGACAGCTAAAATAACTAACACCAAAAACTGGAGCAGATTTCATTATATTTAAGGAGCATTTGAACTAGTTGGCGCTCCAAAACCACCAGCACCACGACCGAAGCCAGGCCTTCCACCAGGACCCTGCAACAGTGTCAAAGCATACAACATGATTCAAGAAAACTCATATACAATAACATATCCATGACAAAGGAAATCTACTGCACACAAGAACCAGCTACAGACTTGTTATTAACATCTGTACAATACAGCTTCATGCAAATAGTATATAATAGCATTCTGTAAATGATAATTTGTCTCAGACCATCCAAATAAACTCGTCACTTCAAATGGAAGAGAAAATCGACATTGAACGTGAATTACAAATAAACCTAAAACTTCCGGCCAAACTTCAATCACCATAATTTGGATTAAGAAGCTAGCTAGTCGCAACATACCATCTTCCTACCAATATAAAGAATGCCATGAAATGAATAAAACAACAACCCATAATCACGTACAGAAAAAACTACAAAACTACATATTTCAAATTAAAAAAAAAAAACTATAGATTTCGAATCACTGAGCCACTGAACCAATTGACCAAATGCCGCACATCATCATTAGAAGGTTCAAACATGCATTAAAAATACCCATTTGTTCCCACAAAAGACATCTTATATGTACAAATATACCAAAGCTTGTATAAACAAAACAAGCACAGAAAAAAAAAACAGCTTCATAATGAAAACAAGGCCACAAAGTAATGACAACCAGAAGCAGAGCAAACCAACCATGGCGACAAAAGCAAATACTACGTAAACAATAAGATTTCAAAAACAACCAATAATCAAAAAATAAAAATAAATGAATATACAATCCTAGTAAATAAATAAACAAAGAGAACATAATCTTCAATCACATTAAACCATGGTGCAACGAAATTACCCCAAAAGAAGGCCTGTAGTCAGCAGGTGCACCACCCTTGTCTCCAAAGTCACCACCAGGACCCCGGGGACCTCCACGGTATCCATCACGGTCACCAAATCTCCTTTCTCCATCAAAGCGAGGTGGACCCCTGTTCAAAGATTCATTACACACATTGCAATCAAACAGAGAAATACAACAGCATAACATAACAACGTTAAATTACCTAGGACGATCGCCGGGTGGGCCACCAAATGGTCTTCCAGCGGGCTTAGCTTGCTTCTTCAGAGTGGCTGGAACGATTTCAGATGGAAGATTGAGGTAAGTCCTGAGGAACTCAATGCCATCGTTGGTTAGGAACCAGTAATAGTGCATCCAAGCAAATGTCTCCCTCACGTACTCCCTCGATTTGAAACTTTGCATCAGCTTTATCACCTGAAGATTCGGCACATCAATCTCCGGGTGCTTTGCCAGATTGTAGTCCTTCTTCGCAAAGCAAACTCCCTCTAAATAAATAAAAAAAACCATCAAATTCACGATTTGAAGTTTTAAACACAACACAAGACAACGCAATCATAAAGTATTGATAGAAGATGAAGGGACCTTGGAAGAGGTATTTGCATATCTCTCTACGGTTCTTCTCAGTGATGATCTGAACAATTTTAACCAAAATATATAAATAAATTAAACAAAACAAATAAAAAATCGTATGCACAAATCGATTCAACCAATGCAAACAAATCCCAAGTTGTATTAACAAATTAAGAAGATAAGATAATTATCAAATACCATGGTTGCAAGGTTGAGGCGGCAACGAAACACAGCTCTGCGACCACTCCCACACCTTTATCCCTTTGCTGCGATAGAAACCCTAATTCCAGCTACTCCACGTTTATAATGGACTTTTCAGTTCTCATCTTCCCAACAGTTAGGGCTTTTTTATGGTTCTATTCATGGCCCAAAATTAAGCTTTCTTGTAACTTCCCCAGCCCATAACCATATCCAAGACCCAACTTGCTTTCTTTTTTTGGCCCATCTAAGTTGCTATTTATTTAATATTCTTTTGATAATTAAAAATAAAATAAAATCATTTTTTTGGGTAAACTGATGACAGAAAATAAAATAATTTTAAATTAACTATGTAACGAATCTTAAACTAATTATAGATGAGCTTAACAGTTGACAAGCATATTGTAAATTCACTTATACTAATACTAGTGCATTACTCGTGCGATGCATGAAAGAAAAAGATCAAAAAATTTGTCGGCGAGCGTCGTTAACCCTAAAAGAAAGAATATGTCATTATTTTCCTATATATATATATATATATATATATATATATATATATATATATATAGAGTATTACCCGTTCGATGCACGGGGGGAAAAAGAAATCAGTTAGTCTATCTCGTAAAAATTAACGCAAATCGTAAAAGTATATCGCTGCATTTTATGCAATTAAGATAATGAATGGCCTTTTGAATTACCACATTTAACTTCAACTATTAAGTGTGTATTGGAACATTAAACGTACTAACTCAAATATTTGTCAACTCTTCGTGTACAAAAAGTTGAAATTAGGTACCTCGTCGTGTTAGTTGGACAGTAACGGCCCTCCGGACAGAGCCCATTTTGTCATTTCTAACTGTCAATATTTTATATAAATATTGTTTGTTTGACAGTAAATATAAGAGAGAGAACAAACGTGTTGGCGGGCTAACCCGCCCATTTGGAAGTTGGGGTGGGCCGGCCCTTCGGGCCAAGCCTATTTTGTCACCTTTAAGTGTCAGCATTTTATATCAACATGTAATAACTGAAGAGTTGTCTCTAAATTGACTTTTCTGAAGTGGGTGTATTTGTGACATATATATTAGATGAAGAGTTGGCAAATATTTGAGTTATTACGTTTAATATTATAACAAACACTTAGCCGCACAAATACGGATTTGTTGGACAGTAAATATAAGAAGAAGAAAAATGTGTTGGCAGGTGAGGTGGGTCGGCCCTCTGGGACGAGACCAATTTGCGACCTTTAACTGTCAATATTTTATGTCAGCATATAAAGTTTTTATATTTAAAATTAATAAGTTATGCTTGATTTATATTTTAAAGTCACATATAATTTTAAAAAAATAAATATAATCATAAGTGTAAGTTTACTTTGGTTTTAAGTATATATATTCAATTATTTGATTTTACTTTCCAAAAACTTGGCCGGTATTATTCAACAACTTGATATCATGACTAATTCTTTTGATTGTAAGTGTAATAAGAGCACCGGTTAAAAAGAATAAATAAATAAAAATCTTTCCATTTGTTTGTCTCTTAAAATTTAACACAAAACATAAAAGTATATCTCTGCATTTTAGCTTGTCTTATAGTCATTCAGAAATTACATAGTTTGACTCGGCTTCTTTCAGTATTTATCAAAGATGGACTTTCATTTATCACAATCTCATTGTTCATCTTTTTAGATGCTTGTTTATGAAATATTTACAACATTAAATCCAATTATCATAGTCACATAAAGACGGGTTTGTTATACAGTAAGTGTTGTCGGGCAGGGCGGACCGAGCCTATTTTGCTATCTCTAACCGTCAGCATTTTATATCAGCATATAATTTGTTTTTATATTTATCTACAAAAAAAAAGGTTCTTATAGTTGCGTCTATATTACTATGTATTTTATAGTTGCCTCTAAATCGATTCTTTGAGATATGCGTATTATTGAATATATATTAGATGAAGAGTTGAAAAATATTTAAGTTATAACATTTAATATTCTAACAAACACTTCATAGTTGGCAGGCTAAATAGTATTAAAATAATAATATACTGCAAAATATTGAATGGTCATTTCTTTTAATTGTGTAATTAATAAGAATAAATAATTATTTTTTTGCTAGGATTTTTGGTCGTAGTATTTGAAACTTTACAAATTAGTATTTACAAAATTGAAATAAAATTTAGGAATTTAATTATAAAAGATGAAAAGTGGAATTTTAATTTAATTATAAAAACTTGTTGGCAGGCTAACTCGCCCGTTTGATGGGCTGGCCCTTTAAACGTTTGATGGGCTATCTCGCTCGTTTGATGGGCTGGCCCTTTAAAAGATCAATATACTAGTCTCGTACTAGATATATTTGTCTTTAAGACAGAACATACATAAAATATAATTTACTTCATTCTATTCAATTTTTGCTTTTTTTTTCCTAGGTAATTCAGTTTGTTAGGTTACAATTAATGATTTTATATATCTTTAACACTCCCCCTCACAAGAGAACCTAATTGCGCTTGAAAGATAAATGATGCATCAAGCTCAGCCTACCTGTACTAAGAAATTTCACAAAGAAAATAGGGGACAGCGAGGATCAAACTCGGGATACCATGTAAAGAACCAATTTAACTCAAACACTTAAGCTGTTGTTAGATGAAGCTACATTAATGAATTTATATATCTCTAACAGTACATAGATGCGCAAAAACATCATTATTTAATTATTGGACAAATGAATAATTTTCGCCATTTAACAAATGGGGGAGGTTATACTTACTACCTCTTACTATAAAATCTTAAATATTGATTTTCATCAATCTAACGGTTATAATTTATTAAAAACTGTGATCCAATAAATTATAACCGTTAGATTGACAGAAATCAACGGTTAAAATTCGATAGTAAAAAAAAAAAGGTAATAAATATAACATTTCCCTTAACAAACAATCTTTTTGAATTTTGATAAATTTTAATTAAATTCTAAAATTCTTTAGCATTACTCATTTGAAAAGTTCACCATATCTTAACTACGAGGTACATACAAAACAACACCCAGGGATGTGGCCAGATTGGCATGCCAAATTGATATCTTTCTCTTGTGTATGTTTTTGGTTGGAGGGAGAACGTGCATGTGGTAAGTCAATGCTTTTTCTATAAGAAAGATTTGTTATATAAAAAGACGCGGAAATGTAAAAGGCAAATCCATTATTATCATTCAGAAACCAACACATGTACAGTCAAATAGCAATTGAAGATGTGTAGAATATCTTCAAAATCAAACTTTCCTACTGGTTGCAATCGCCTTTATTTTATATTTTTTTCCCTCTTCCATGTCAAAACACTCAATAAACACTTCACGCTTGGTCATATATAATACATAATATATTATCTTCACTCATATTTGGCAATCTTTCCAATCTCAGCAATCAAAAGGAGAAGGAGCAATCTCTGAAAACCCTTCCTAGTTAGAGAGATCATAGGGAGCGTAAGAAAAAGAGTGGGGACTAAGGAAAAGGAGAAAGTGTGTTTGTTCCCATATTTGATGAATTTGGAGGTAGTTCTTCCCCTCCAAGTTGTCCTTCAACACTGTCCCAGAAAAGAAAGCTAGGACAATGTTGTTGGGTCTCAACCCACTCATTCAACTCTTGTCTCTGCAAGCACTCCAGTGCTATTTCTCTTTCCTCGTCCATATTGCAAGACTGTACTTCAATTGGCACCATGTTTTCCACGTTCTCTAACAATGGTGGTAGATAATTCGTATTATCCATGACTGCAGCTGCTGTAAAATTTGCCGCTGGATGAGGAGGAAGGGCTTGGACTTGATGGTGGCTTAAGTTCCACGTTTCAGAGCTCAAACCCATAGTATCTTGAAAGAGTTCTCCTCGTACATTGGTATCTGCTGTTGTCCCATCTAGTGAACTAGTGTCAAACATAAATAGCGGGCATGTGGAAGAAAATAGGGTTTCTTGTACCGGTGGTGGTTTTGCTGTTATATTTTCTTGGTTGACAAAGTGATCTAGTTGATTCGAATTATAATTGAACAGGGTATGATCAACACTTTGTGAAGTGCTCATTGAAGGCACCGAAGGCTTTCGTATTTTCTTTTTGATCCATGAATTCCAATAGTTCTTTATTTCATTGTCAGTCCTACCAGGCAAGTGGCTTGCAATGTGAGCCCATCTGCATTTCCCATTCACAAGAACATATTATATAAATTAATTAAGCATATATAAATCTTAGATAAGATGTTTAGTATATATATATATAATCGTAATTTTGAAGCATATATATATGTCGAGATAAACGTGCCATTAAGTGAAGAGATAAGATAGTATTTTAGTTGCTTATGAAAACGGATTTCAATAAAATATTATGAAGAATGTGGAGGTGGGAGGCTGGGAGTGTACACACACTGAAAACGGACAAGTAAATTTCAACTAACAGAATTTACCAGCTTAACTTCACCAAAACTGTACCTCCGATCGAGGCTGATAGCTCCTTCAGATATATACAAAATTGCATCTTCAATTAATTATAGCTGTTTTAAGGAATAAATTCCAAAGATTTGTTTTTACAATATTGAGTTATATATATATAGCTAGTGTTAATAAGTCTCAAGTACATTTCTACATGTTCTATTCCCATTAACCACATACTAGCTATATGATTACTTTTTCCAAATTTCAAGCGGGGTTTCATATACTTTCTGAAATTTTCACATTATAATCAATTTGGAAAGTTGGATTGGGTCGTTGGTAGCTATAGAACTCGACTCAACCATATTTAGGCTGCTTCAAAGGAAGAAGAAAGGGATATATAAGACCACACAATCGGACAGAAAATGCAATTAAAGAAGAGCAAACAAGGAAACAATGGACTTATGATAATTCAAAATACTTGGTAGAGCTACAGTCAGTAGTATTTGATTAAAATTAACCTGTTGCCAACGACCCCATGAAGGCTTATAATTAACTTCTCCTCCTCAGGTGTAAACCTGCCTCTTCTAATATCAGGCCTCAAATAATTAATCCATCTCAGGCGACAACTCTTACCACATCTTTGAAGCCCTGATTAAATCACACCAAACATATATTATATATACAAACCAAAGGTTGATTTATAATCACAAAAATTAGTAGAGAGAAATCCTATATACATATCATCAAGCAAGGAAGAAATAAGAGATGATCAAGAAGTTTTGTATATATTTATATATAGATTATAAGACAGACCTGCTTTCTCTGGAACTTCACTCCAGCAGCCATAGCCATGAGTGGTAATGTATCTAATGAGTTTCTCATCTTCCTCGGGGGACCAAAGCCCTCGCTTAACCTTCTGTTGGTTGCAGCAAGAATGATGACCCATCTTAATTTCTAGGCCTTCTTCTTCTTCTTCTTCTATTCCTGTCTTTAATTTAATCTTGTTCCCTCAGTGTCCTAAATTGCCTGGATCAAATGCGGGGATTTGTGTGAAATAGTTAGGTGTCTCTCTCTCTCTCTCTTCCCTTCTTTAAAAATGAGGGGAAGTACAAGGCAGAGCCGACATTTACAACCAGGTGGGGTCCATGCAAGGGACCCAGATCTCCATCTAACCGTAAAATGACGTTCCAGCAACTTTATTCTCGCTAGTGTTGCCATTTTCTACGTACATTGTAGTATTACGTAACCAAGACAAAGCCCTTCCACATCAACAAAGTCCCAAAATAAATAATTAGAGGAGTGGAAAAAGAAAAAGGAGGGAATATTGCAGGTTGTTTCATGCACCTCCTTCTCTACCTGTCTGCACACATCAGTGTAGCTAATAATGGATTTACTATGTGAAAGTGATGGGAAGGATTAATTTAGAAACTATTGCCAATTAGTAAATTGCAACAGTTTCATGTAATCTTGTAGTACAAAAAACTAAATGCTCGTCTCGTAAAATAAAACACACTCATGTATTGTACACGACAATATATGAAGCTTCTTAATAAAGATATATAATGTATTACTGTCCTTTCTTTATGATAATTTACACGTTATGAAAATGAAATCTTTGAGCACTCATGCAGATTTTGCTTAATGCTTACTATAATATCTTGGTTAACCTGCCCAAGACCTCATGGCTCTAATAGTATTTACTAAATGTATTGCCGACGGAGGGATAGCGTTATATTTCATATATTCAGAAAGCAATTGATCACATTTTAAATCTTTATTTCATGGCTTACAGTAGAATCCTCTGAGACAGTATATATATGTTATATACATGTGTGAGAAAGACAGAAAAATCAGTTCGTTTGTTTTATGATTTAAGCAAGCCCAAGCTAATAATTATTTTGACTTGATTGTGTCTTCATTTAACTAAGAAGGAATAATAATTTCATTTATGTTGTTGGAATAACGCGTATAAATAACATGATTGATGTCAATTAAAGATAATAGCCTTAATAGGACTTGTAAATTTCAGTTTGTAGATTTCACAGATTGGAAGTTACAATTATTATATGTACTATAAAAGCCATAATCATTATTGATCACAACACCTCGACAATTTCAACTCTAATAAGGCCTGTACTTATTTTCCCTGACCTGTGGACCACTGCCACAGTCTGGTCACTGGTGACTTAAAGTGGAATAGTGAGTGTATAAGCTAAAATGTGATTTAGATCAATGTGTAAGTTTACATTCGGGACTACTTAACCACATATATATGCGTGAGTGTGTACTTCAATCACAAACATGACTAAGGTGAAGAGTGACTTTCGTGTGTGTATATCACTTATATCTCTAAGTGCTTTAATGTATATATTAAGTGAAAATATGATGAATGAGAAGATTTAATATTAATCATACCATTATACGTGAATGATTAAGATTGATTTTACTTTAAAAATCTTGACAGTTAATACATACATCTATATATATTATACAATAAGGGTTTCTTTTTAACTATTATAAGTAATATGTGGTAGAAATAAAAGGCATGTCACTTATTAGAGTGTGATGAGGTCACACATGCAGTGCATTCAGAAAAGATATACTGTCGGCTTAGCCTAAAGTGGCCTATTATCGTGTTTCAATGATGCATCCATCGAAAAGCCCCATTAGATATGGAGGTGAGATCATGTTACTATTACACAATGACATTGGCTCTTAAAGTAACCATGCAATGAACTTCAGTAATCTCCTTAATCTTAATATCGTCATCAAGATTTTGCAAATAGATCAGTGAATTCGAAGATGATTTCTTTTTCTTGATAATGATTGGATAAAGACGGCATGTCGCAAGTTGTATATGCAATTAATTAACTAGTTTTTTTTTTTTTTTAACGTGCAATATTTTTTCTAATTGAACTGGTTCAATTAAATTTTTTTATTTTAACTTCGATATATTTATGAAATTTCAACATTTTATAATAAATTTAACTTTTTAAATCAGTAATGTATAAATTAATTGTTCAATATTCGAATGAACATCTTATTTAATATTACATTTATAATACCTAATATGGGTTGGCCTAGCGGCGGTTGGCTAGCTCCCAGGACGAACCTCTGCCAATGAAGTGGGAAAGGTTCGATACCTAGAGTTGCCCATTTGGAGAGGGTTAAAGTTAAATACCATTAACAACACTAGCCTCGAAGTGGATGCACACTTTGCACAATTTTGATATTTCCAAAAAAAAAAAAAAATTACATTTATAATGCAAGGCTGAAATGTTCACCTGAAGAAATATCATGCTTGTTGAAGAAAGATGCCTTTTGTTTGGGCTCAAGTTGTGTTGGTTAGTTAAAACACATAACTAGCAAGGAAATTGTTTAATATGGCATTTCAACCCTTTGTATTAATACGTATATGGAATATATATAGTTAAGGGGAGTACTGA